TCGGAATGCTCGCGCGCTGGGCACGCTGACTACTGATGTGTAAATTTATGATCTGACAAATACCGTAAGACCAGAGGAACCTTGCTGATTGGCTTTCAAAACAAGAGGCTGTAGATGAACCCTGAAAGATTATGGCCAATGACAATATCCTCACCATCAAACTGGTCCCCGGGAGGTTGGTACAAATATGTTGACTGGATATCATGCTATAGAAGGTTGCAGCCTCCTTGGTGGAAGGAAGGGATGTTTGGGACGCGGAGATAGACAGATAATTGAAAAATATCTCCAGAGCATTCTGAAAAATTGATCATGAATTAGGCTGTTGTAATATTCGAGAAATGTGACAATTAGGATTTGTTCGTGCTCATTGTGCTGCGTGATTTCCGAACAAAGTTGATTGTCTATTGCTACGAAATGGCACATAGCGGATGCCCAGTGAAAACATGACACTTACTTTGGCAAAGTTCTTAACAGCCAGAGATGAAAAGTGACCTTCAGGGAATACGAGCAGTCAAAAATTCTGACCCGTTGATAACATTCTATGCGAATGTTTCCGGTGATAACCAGTGGCAATCACTGCGTCGTCTTCTCAGACCGTGAGAAACTATGAGCAGCAGTGAGCGACGGCGAAAAACTCAGCAACATCATGGGACATCCTGAGGCAGTTATACAGCTCAGCAGGAGTAACCTCAGTAAATACCATGCTATATATCTCCGTTAAAGTACGTCATACTTTATCGGCTTTGATGTGGAAAACAAACCTGCGCAAACATACAGCACGTACATTCTAAGAAGGGCTTCTTTGAGTCGTTGTTATGTTTGAAAGTCATCGCAACTCCAAAATACGTCGAGTGCTTGAAGTCCTGTTGGTATGCGAGACCGTTGAAACGGAATGTTGAAAACCAGTTTCTCAGGGGTTGCGTGGTCTTGCTTCTGAAATTTATGGTTGAGTTCCAAACGGGAAATTGAGTGCTGGTGGCATGTTGACATCCCGAGCGAGATTTACTAATAACAAAAGTTGTTTTTACTTCTAGGATCAAAGGATTTGGAATATTATCAGAAGAAATATGCCAATTATCCCGTTCCATGCACTTTTGGAAGGGTCCAATACGATCCTTTCGGTACACGGGATACTGATTCTTATGGATGGACTAGGATCAAAGGATTTGGAATATTCTCGGAAGAAATATGCCAATTATCCCGTCCCATGCACCTTTGGAAGGGTCCAATACGATCCTTTTGGTACACGGGATACTGATTCTTATGGATGGCAGTTAGCATTGTATATCACTGAGCTTAGTGTCCACGCCCATAGCTTCGTGCTCTATTCAAGCTACTGTTCCCAAGATCATTAGTCTCATGAGTATGAGTAAAAACAAAGCGGTGCGGAGTAGATGTTCAAATGTTTCCCTCCACGCTCAAAATGCGACGGCCCAATCATATCTCAGTCGGTATGCTCCCAACGAGTTGGAAAATAAGCCCATCAGTATGAATTAGAGAGTGATAGCTAGAGGCAAAATAAGCGGCTGTAGTTCTAAAATAAACTTGCGCGCGCCAGCTACGAAATTAAACTTGAAACAAAACGTGGCATGTTCTGTGTGAGTGCTAGAATGTACACAAGCATGTTTGTCTTGTCTTGGCCATGTCACGATGAATGCCGGTTCATCACGCTCCATTCAAATCTGTCGTGATAATCTCTTCTCACCGCATTCCCTTCTACTGCACGATCGTTTTTTCGGTGGTAAGTCTTATGTTCTGTTCCGAATCACAAGGGCTACACTCAGTCTCCAAGTCCATTCGAGATAACCGTTGGTGATGCTTTTTGCTTGCCAGATCGGTCACTCAGTATAAGATAAAATGATGGGGCACATCAATACAAGAACCGAGTTGGCCACAAAAGCCACAAAATACATCCGTCTGCATTTCTCCGACACTCCTGCAGTCACTTCGTGTTTGAATCGTCTGGACTAGTGAATTACACAGTACGCCAGAATTCACAGTATTGTGTCGGCATTATGTCCCAAAAGATGAAGTGCAGTCAATTTGGGCGTCCTTTTCGATCATGTTACTTATATCACTCCCTCCGAAATTATATCTCAACTGGACGCAATCGAAATGGCGTTTGAGATGCAAAGTTGTATCCATTAACTGCGACTAGATGAGTTCGTTTAACTCGTGTCCTTAGGATGCTCGCCGCGGTTGTTGTCATGCCTTGGGAGCGTCATTCAGCTATAATGCATTTTTCTTTGATTCGTGGTAACAAAATGTGTGAACTGAGCTCAATCTTATTTCCACATAGTTCAAATCTTCTGGTTCCGATTACCACTTGTTCGCTGCCGAGTCGGAGCTTTGCTGTCGTGCAACCATACTTCAATAAATCTTATTGTGATGGAGAAGGGTCTTAGGGTTGGCCTTACCCAATTGTTCGTTGGTGCCTACACCCCCGAGACACTAATTCGAACGATCTGCGTAGAAACTTACAAGTATAATAACATTGACATCGATTGCCAGCCATGTCTTGCAGCGCATCTAACAACATACTGGGGAATCAAGCAAACTTCATCCTAGAATGCGGGTCGCACCGACAGTACCTCTCTTCCGCACCCCCCTGCCAAGTCAACTTGGCCGCCTCCCTGCTTGCGTTGCTTTAGAGTGAACAGGAGAACAGCGTTTTTTCGGCAAACGATGGTTAAGGACGCGCATTATCTGATCTGACCCACACCGCTTTTGGTGCTGGGCACCTTCTTCGACTGAAGCAAAAATGAAGACATTTTTTGTCCAGGAAAACCAGATTTTTACCACACAAATCCATATGTAGCTGGCTGATCTTTCAAGGACGTGATTCACGACGCTTGGGCTCTTGAAAAGATCTGATCATTCTAAACCTGCATTGAAAATACGCGTGAAAAGTGGTTCACCACGAGGACGAAGCATTTTCATATTATAACTCTGGAAGGCAACACAAGTCGTTTTAAAGATATGGCCTTAATTCAGGCAGAAGATTGTTGGCGTTTAATTCGGACTGACGGAGACCTAGAGTCGGACAAAATGGCATAACAGAAAGGAATGAAGGATGTGACACAGCGTTTCGGGGCCGTTGGGGCTGTTTGGCTTCCAGGATGAGGTTCACATGGTCCTTCCCGTGTCTGGTTGGAGACATTGGACAATATGACGGCTAGCCGATTCTAGCGGCTGTCACTTTCTATTCAGATTGTCCGACTGAGTGTTAGAGAATAAGGCACTTTGGATATTCGTGGTAGACTAGCTCTCGTACCCTGACCTTTTTTGAACTATCTATTACGAGGACATATTCAAATGAATTGACATTTTTTAAAACGGGAGCACGAGTCCCCTCTTCGGTTGCTGCTAGCACCAATGATGATGCTGATACCAAAAACAGTGGTCATTCTAGGTGTTCCAAAATATGGATTGCCTAGAAGAACCTGGAAAATTTCTCTCAATTCTATATTTCCTTTTCTTTGGCCGAGTATATTATTTTCTAACAGATTTGTCTATTTCTTCAACTTCTATTTGGTCTACTTATCTTATGAGTGGCTTTCTGAACACCACATCATTGCTGTTTGAAACAGTATTCAGTCTTTGTGTTGAGATTACTAACGGCCCATTCCCCTCTGATTTGTCGTCGTAGGCGTGCTCCGTCGTCCAATGGTTTACTTGCTGCCTGATTAGTGTTGCGTATCGATCACTTACTTCAATTGTTTATTGGTCGATAGAGCACAGACGTCTGGCTCTCTTTGGCCCTATACTCTCGACCAGGTTCTTAAGGGGTATTATCTATCAAATAATGTCATCCAAAAAACCGGCTGAATTTAGTGGAAAAATGATTTTCTTCGTGATGGAGATTTCATAATCCAAGTAAACCCAATCGATCCTGAAAAGCCAAGAAGCACTGTACCGCCCAGCAGTATGCCTATGGTGAAACTCCAGCGAGATTTGAATCCATGAACTCCAGGCTCGTACTTGAACACATAACTGTTCCACCAACAGCAGCAGTTCACCAGTAAGATCAGCTATGAGAAAGCGAAAAATTTCACGAATCTCCTCATACTAATAACTGTGCACATGATGTAATAATAGACGTCTAAGTTCAGTTCACTTTTCCAGCGCAAAAACCGTGCACCGAAATATAGTGTTTCCGGTTGCTGGAGCTTCGTCAACCGAGGATAAGTAATATACTTGAATGGGAACCACCCGTTGGAAGTGATGGACCGATCTGTGTTCAGATGTTTCTCTTTGTCCGGTATAGCAGGCAGTGATAGGTATGCAGTGATGACAACAGCTTTGATGCAAGACATATGAGGTCCAGGTTCAAGTACATTTGTGACACCATATCTTTGTTGACCGTCGGTTCTACGTACAAATTGTTGGAAGCGGAGCTTTCAGTAGACCAGTGACATGTGCGTTTCGCACAGTTACGGATGGAGACCTGTCTGGACTAATACTCACTAGCGAAAGCCACGGGAAGACAACAGTAGGACTAATGTGGCCTCAGCTCGAAAGCAAAGTCAGTTCGGTTACGCAGAACTGTGCCAACTTAAACAGACCAAAATACATGCGGAAACTCGTTTGCACTTTGATTTTTACCGATGCGGATGATTAAGGCGGTAAAATGAGTAAAATCACTTTATAGTCTTGGGTGACGTCAACCAACTGCTAACATAATAATAATAAAACGGGCATACGATATTGCAGCAGGCAATTCATCTTGCATTCACCACGGTGAACTGTGGAGCCTCCGCCGTGTGCCACGCATGCCAAAACATCGCTTTTTGAGACTAGTACTGTTTTTGGTGCACCGGTGAAACTGGGATGCAAACAAAGCTTTCGTGGACAGTAAGAGGTGAGGCTGAAAAGTATTTGGGTGTTGTTAGTGAGGTACGTCTTCTCGGATGAGGCTTTATAATCTTACCTCCTCACGCCATAGACTATGTAGTGGCTAATCGACGTCAGTGGCTTTTGTGCCGTCTTTTTCTTTTCAGACTATCTGAGTGAATTTTCGAGGTTACAGACATCTCAGAATGCTTGCGGTAGGCTAACACAGGGTCCGCCCTCAGATATTCTCTTCTGTTTTTTTTTCACTTTATGATGTAATTATACAAATTTTCGGTCTGTGCGGAAGTGAAGAGTCAGTGTTAATACTAGTGTTGCTGCCTGAGATTATGATGCCGATGTCCAGTTGTATATTTCCTCGTGATACTGACCTTGTAAAAGCATCTCGGTCGCCTCCCGGAAAACTTGCATATTCCTATCTGCAAACTGAAAGCACATTCGATCTTCAAAGGAGTCAATAATTGTGGTTCGTGGAAACTGATCCAGTAGGTGTCGCACAAATTTTCCCAAGGTTTGATGCACCTCAAAGTCAGCTTCATCCGGCATCAGTGCGTAATTTCGAGCGATCTTCACTTCAACGAAGAGGCCATGACCGTAGGATGATTTTAATTGATGGGGGCTGCCCATACACCTAAATGAAATCGAAACAAAGTAAAGTTGCAGTCTACTAATAGGTATGTATGTAGGGAACAAATGTGTCAGAAAGATCAGAATTTATATTCTACGATCTTCACCTGAAGTCGGAAGGTGTCGCTACAAATGCCTAAGTAAGTATACAGATAAATTACTGGGGGATCAAGTCTGGATATACCACAGCTTGGTTTAGTTCAGTTCAGTTCCACAATCGTAAAATATGCACGCAGGAACGGCGGTTTGTTTCGCTCAGCTAGTGACAGCGGCTAGTGTAAGACAGATGACACAAAGTGTGTTTTAGAACACGGATCTAGAGATTTATACAGGCAAAACCATCAGTGTAGATTCCTGGGAGATATTTTGTTCGATTTGTGGAGAAATACTGAACACCGTGGCCTGCAGAATAAACGCATTGGTTTGCTTGCTGCCTGAAAGATACAGGCACTCGTTGTGGTGAACTCCTAGAAGTACATCTGAATCAGTCACATCCGGATAGGATGGCCCGTTCAATTATGTGAAATTGAACTGCATATCAGTAATATATCTGTGTAAACTGGTGCCACTCAGGTGTCTGTGGTGAAACTGGTTCACTTATTAGCAGTACTTGGTGTAAGCAGTTCATACTTGATAAAAAGTACTTAGCGGCAGTTTTCGGCAGGAAACTACCCTGGTGACTTGTGAAGTCCGTTCACTCCGATACTGTGGATCCTAAACAGATGTTTAGCATGACTAAGCTCAGATGTCATGCACGAAACTAATCAACTTTAAATTGAGTGGTTATGTTTTCTAAGAATTTCGACCACAAATTAAATGAAGTTAAGTAAAGTGGTTTCAGTAACTAATGGGGTAAGAATATAACTTGTGGATTTCGTGATTTATCAACGCAAATGAGATGAATAGAGAGTGAATACACACTCTACTACGGCTTACTTCCTCAAATGTTACAGATCCTTTGGAGAAAACCAAGAAGCGTCCTCAAATCGAGCAGAGAACTATAAGTATCAGTTTTAAGCGTTCCCTTGCTCATAGTAACGTTACACATGTTGTTTCCCTATTGTATGTTAAGCCATTCAGGTCACTTTGACGAAGCTGTAGGATAGTTTTCCACAATACGCCATGTACGGGCAGAAAATCATCAAAGCTCAACCTGTTCCAGGTATATAATCCTCTGAGGTTGGTCATTCATTCATTCATTCCTCTCATAAATGTAGAATTTATGTAACTATATTCATTTCATGTTCAAACATAGCCACGTGAGCCTTGTTGTCTGTGTACTCGATAACTGGAAGCGGGTGCCCTGGGAGAATTACAATCCCACAGGCATTAGGGGTTGTCTGTGAGTCTTCCACAATCGAATCAGTGACAAAGTTAAAGAGGGAAGGCGAAAGAGAACAGCCTTGCCTGACGCCGTCCGATGTTTTAAACTCATGCGAGAGCTTGTCTTAGACTTCCACGCGTCCGCGGGAGTTGGCGTACAGCACATTAGGGAGAATCAGGAATTTATGCGCGGCACCTTTATTGCACAGACACTGCAATGGTGTCTAAAATCCAATTTCCTATCCAGTGAACAAATCAGTTGCCACCTGATCAACAGCCAATACCCATATCGCCAACAACTTCAAGCGTTGTACTTTCAAAACAGCTCTCTGATGGGAGACCATTAGGGAGAATCAGGAATTTATGCGCGGCACCTTTATTGCACAGACACTGCAATGGTGTCTAAAGCTCCACTGAGTCAATCATCATCATCATCATCATCATCATCATCATCATCATCATCATCATCATCACTGTCGGCTGTAAGAACCGCGCACTTGCCGTACAGTGGTTGTAACTGCCACAGTTTCGTTCATCAATGATTCGGGGAGGTGGGGTAGGTTGCTGCGCACTGGAGGTGCGAACTGATAAATTAGTGCTTAAATACAGCACTCTAGGTGGACTGTTAAGTGGGAGGATTGTGAAGGGAGATATATATTGATGGCAACAGCTTGGATACATGAGCGCCATTGAGGGCGCGACTGGACCATGTCTGACAAAATCCCTAACCATTGTTATGGCCCATCTCGGGGTCTCCATCCAGGTAGACGGCAATAGCCAGCGCAGCTGCGTTTGCTGGTAATGACTTATACTTCGCTGCCAAGCCATTGCTTGACAGAGTCAAAGGCAGCTTTCAAGGCAAGGAAGAGTACCGTTGTTGGTTGATGGAAGCAGTGTCTATTTTCCAGAACCTGTCGTAGGGTGTGAAGGCGATCGATGAATCATCTTGCAGGACGAGACCCAGCTTGGTTCTAACAATAAGACGGATTAACGGCTGAGGATAGTAAATAAAACAGAGAGCAACAAGCCACTCATTAGGTTACTGAAATATTTCTGACAGCCAACAATGGGCTCCGCCCTTATTGGGCTTCATCAGAAAGGGGCATCTCTGAGTTTTATATTTCCTTGTCTTCTGCTTGAACACAAATTGTACGAAATTCGCGAAATACACCCATTTGCATAGCAACTTGTTTTCAACGGGAGATGGAACTGAATCCCAGCCATATCTCTCGCTGTGATGTCCTTCAGCTTATTGTGTCGCACAAAGGTCACCTCGTGTTTCAGTTGGTACGATTTTCGAGGTGTCGCAGTAAGACAGCACACTACCGATAAAGTTGATGAAAATTCTTCTCCAGTTGCAACTTGGCTTTCGACCGGAACACAAGGTTGACAAAGACTCAGGGATCCAGCCTATTTGGTAGGTCAAAGGGAAACAGCTGACAGGCTGTTAAAGGTTTTTCAGCATACCATTGAGCAGTATGTTCTGTCTTTATGTTAATATACTGCAATATTGTAAACATAGTATCTAGAGATCCTGCTGTATCCAATTAAAAGAGCATAGTCCACTTTGTTTTCAAGGTCTTTCCACTGCGCAGCTGCATCCTGTAACATCCAACGGGAATCGTTTATTTAGTGAATAAATTTGCGTCGTATGCTTGTGACATCACTAGTTTCTATCAGTAACGAAATCCACCGAAACCTCACGCCTAGATAACAATTTCAATTTCTGCTGCACAACAGATTTTGTATTCCTTCCCCACGTCTGTAAAGCAAAATTCTCGTGGAAAGAGATCAGCCTCCAAATTCGTTGTACCTAGAATTTTTCGGCGGTAGATATGTTCCACATGAAAAGCAAGTAAAATTCGTTTCTTACATTTGCTTGCCTGCGTCTTACTGGTTGCTTTTTTATTCTCAGTCCCGCGCAAGCTGCTGACGTGCATATACAGAAACCACAAAAGCAGGTTGGATTGTGCCGTACCGCCGGCTGGAATGCACAACTACCATCTAATGGAATGCGTCATCTTCCTGGACTCGGAATCCTTATCGAAAGTGGTCGCTCGGGTACTGTCCCAGTCCATCATCTTTGGTGAAGTGACAGTCTGTCAAGCGTAAATTACTTCAAAGCTAAAATGGCAAAATCCAGTAGGCATTTTGGACGAGAATCTTAGGCCAACTAAAAATGACTCCACCAAGGAATGAAGCAAACGATATCCGATCACCGATCAACTGAAGGCCTTATGAGCATATCCCGCGATCCGATGTGATGCGATAGAAAAAGCTCAGCTAGCACTGCCCCGTTCGACCCTTCGACCTGAATTTTTGGAGGCAACTCGCCTCATAACGCCTGCAGGAAGTTTCATACATGAAGCTTAAAGCGGCGGCTGCATTCATCTACCTATTGCTGAGCGGTGGAACATGCAGTCGAAGTCGTCCATAGTTAGTGTATTTCGCCTAAAATTCAGCCCAGGTAGGGATTGCCTAATCGAGATCCACCAAGTAAAATGAAAAAGACCAAAAACTAAATACGTCACAAAGCGGGAATTCGCTGACGGGAAACTCTCTTTTAGCTCACTAACCGTTTAGTCATGCATGGGACCCATCACGCGGTCGTAAATGAGTCGCCATAAATGTCGCCGGATAACTCTGCGGTTAAGTGTACCTTACTCAATATTGTATTTTTGGAAGGAATGACGATGTACCTATACTATTTTTAAGAAATAGAGATTCATCTTTCCATAAGTAATAGTCAACAATGTCATTGAATAGGTCATTACTCCGACACCCAAACGAGTCGTCTTGCTATGAGGTACCTAAGCTAGGTTTATGACACTTCGCGAATGAAGTCAACTAAGTTGATCGACTTTGCTGGCGGTTTAGTTATACCAATTTCTACGCTTCTCTTGCCTCCTTGATGCTGGCTATTTCAAGACTACGGGGTGCGGATTCAAATAAAGGACAGGAAAGCGGTTTAGTATACCAATTTCTACGCTTCTCTTGCCTCCTTGATGCTGGCTATTTCAAGACTACGGGGTGCGGATTCAAATAAAGGACAGGAAACGCCAGAGACCGTATAGATGATAAATACTATGCCAATAGAAGAAACAATTTTTGGGGGTTGCAAATGGCATTGATGGTAATTTGTAACCCTATCAACACTACCACCACCGTCGTCATCATTATCATTCTCATTGTCATTGTCCCCACTGTCGACCTGACCACAAAGTACACCAGTTCCCGTTTTCGTTTGGTTATTTGGGTGTAACAAAGCAAGTCATCATCCACTGAAACTTTTTTTCCGAGACGCACTCCCACAATTCGATCAATGCCGGCAAGTTTTCCTCATGTGCCTTGGAAGTTGAAAGGCATAGAAATACAAAACCAACTTTGTAACGCGAGTCAGAACGGGATCACGTAACTTACAGAAGATTCCCATTGACCAGAATTGCCAGACGATCACACAAGGATTCGCCTTCATCAATAAAGTGCGTTGTTACCACGCAACCCCTCTGTGTGCCCTTGATGCAGTTAAGCAACGTTTTCCTGTCAGAGAAAGAGAACATACTTGACTTGAGTGATCCTTATGAAGTAAAAGACCGAGGGACTCCAGTGGAATGGACAGCTTTATCAAAGTATGTTTCCGAGTGAAGAACATACTTAGTATCGCTATTTTGTCTTCCCTTATCAGAGATGACAACATCAACTTTGAGCATATAATTCTTACTGGTGGATAATCTTAGGAATTATTTATTCAGGGAACCAGAGATGAGGAAGAAACAAGGGAAGTGAGATGAGCTCCAACTTTTCAATGTCATGGTCAGGGCTTATTCGAACTCACCGTGGAGAGGGCTTTTACCAGATAAGAAATTTTCTATCCATTTAATGGATGAGTGAGTTCTTATTCGAACTCACAGTGGAGAGGACCTTTAACAGATAAGAACTTTTCTATCCATTTAATGGATGAGTGAGTTGACTGGACGAAATAAACGCTAACTCTTACATCTTCGAAAAGATTGTGAAACTCATAGTTCCAGCTTCATTCCTCATCTAAGAGGTTAAAGGTGACTCTAGTGCTCTGCCTGAAAGAAAGATCATTGTGCATGACACCTGGGACTCAGTAATTCCAAAATTGGTTTGAATGATTTAAGTATGGTATATCATCTTCAAGGTAGCAAATCAAGAGACTCCCATTTATTTTTGCACTGAATTGGTTGCAGTGCCTAGTTTTCACTAGGATTAACGCGAATCAGGGGAATTTTATCGTACCTGCAGATTCTTCACGAATTCGAACAAATTGTGACCACATTACCATTTGTTTCATTCGGATGTGTCGAATCGCAGGTAGGGATGACGGTGTTTCTCGTAGACGGTGTGTCTAACCAGTAACGTCTTGGGTGGATCGGTTGGCTGTTGATCAGATGACCCCCCCAACCGCTACCTGACGATGTCTTCTCTCATGGTGACAAAACGTTTGAAAACCAACTGACAGGCTGGGCGAATGGATCGTCTGCAACCTGATCAACAGGCAACGGTTTCTCTTGTGGACATGACAGATTCAGATCGGAGTGCTCGCAGTTTAGAGGCCCTATTGCTGTGGGTCTATGGTACCAGCAGGGAAACTTTTTAAGTAAGAAGACAGCGTAGTGGAATAAGGTGTTATAATCCGACATTTCCGTTGCCTTTGACAACCTTTTTCAAAGATTTCTACAATCAACTGTATAGGAGTTAAGTGCAGCGTCATTCGGATCCGCTATCATGTTCTCTGATTGGTGTGTTCCTGAGTTTAGTTGGTAGTCAGATGCGACCAGCGTACTACCGCATTGTACATTCAAGCGTATCATCAAGTATGACATCAACGTATCTCAGCCAGCTACGTGGTAGATGGGCGGAGTCACACAAGGCCTTAGTATCAACATGGTGTCAGGAAAGTTTACCCACCATGGATGATACTTCAGAGCCCACAGCGACACCGTCATTTTGTCTATAGGGCACACTTTGAAAGGTGAGATAAGTGGTGCTTAGACACAGTAGTAGACACTATTATTTATGTCAATACGGTATAAGTTTATTCTCTGCGCTAGAGATGTGCCTTCTCACAACACAGAGGCCGGAAAACGGTTGTTAATTAGTACAATAATATAAAGAGCTGTTACATCAATGCTTATTATTACTCCACCACGCTGTTTGGACCTCACAGGTTTCCATATTATACCCCACATGGCGCTCAGGCTTTTTAACATTATGCAAGCCGAACTTGGCCGGGAATTCAGAAAGCTCTTGAACTGATATTCCTCAGCTTCCTTTGCCACACCTTTAGTAAGGTGGAATTCCACCCATTAGGTGAACACAGATAACAGTCACAGAAGATAGGCGAGGTAACGATACTTTTTTGATAATTTAGCGTCAAACCATGTAAGTATAGAGGTTAGGGTTAACATGAATACAGTCAGAAAGGGAATAAAGCTAGTGATCAACGCAGAACCAGATACATGGGGCAGTGTCGCCAAGGGAGTGTAGTGAGTATCAGAAACAATGACCGTATGTGGACGTGGGTTAGTGTGTGCGTGAGAGCCAGCACAGCTCACAGCATTGCGACTTCAATCGAGTCTTACGCTACGATTCTGTTCATCTGAATCAGTTTGAGTGTGTTTTGTGAAGGACTTGGAGAGTTTCATCGGTGTTTATACTGTGATATGCACCTATAATGTGCTGGTTGATCAAGCTACTTTCGAGACTCCATCTTGCCACCTCTAGGCCTCGTGCAGTACCCCCCAACAAACATAAACGATCCTTCCACAGGGGCATCTCCTTGCAGGAAGGCTGACTTACTGCAGTCATGTTGAGTGAAACACTGCAAATTCTGTTGCAACGTGTTTCAACACGCACAACCTACAAGGTTGCTGAAGATCCTTTGATGGCTTACCGTCGGCAGCAACCTTATAAGTAGTATTACGTCGAGAAAAATACTTCACTATCTCGTATGTCGCACAAACAGACTTTGTGCAGCAGATTAAGTTAAGGAATCAGTAAGGGCTCAAATGAATCCTTATTTGATATCCTGTTGGCCTGCAAATGAACGTATTTCTCTGCGTATTCTTCCAAACCTGTGGGGAGATGCTTCGCGTCGGCAAGAGAGTAGACAAATGTGATGTCGATACGTATTTATCCACTTCGGTAAACTTGTCCATCGGTCGTCATCGGCTGTCAGTTAGCTCAGTACGAATAAGCGTTTGTGGCATCATGCTGGTAAGTTTGAATCAGGACCACCAAATTATAAGTTATCCTGAAGATGTACGGTTAGTTAACAAAAGAAAGGTGGGTGATAATTGGGAATTGGCCATCTTTCGGTCCAGCTTCTGTACCTCCACCCAACATTCTTCCCCAACTACCATCGATTCGTATCACCCTTTCGATCTTATCAAGAAGAAAAAACGATGTGCACAAACACTTGCCTTTGCTCACAAAGATTTGTTTTTAAAGGGACTCTACTAATTCCAGCTGAATTTCTCGTTTATGCTAGTCCGGCTGTGGGTTCTCGAAGAGTCTTTTGCAACCTTATGAGTAGTGCTACCGATATGCAACAAATGAGTGCACTTATTTCAGGCTAGCTTATTTGCCAAGCCAAGTTAGGTTAGGTGAAGCCAGTCGGTCATTCAGTCAACTTTCTAAGCGGAAAACCGAATTGCGATGCTTTCAGCTGCTACAGCTCCGTACATCACGGATAGAGAAAATAAGAACATGACAGCTACAGGTTGAAGGCGATGGTCTAGCCAGTTGATTGACAATAAATGCTTCTGTTTGTCCAATATAGCAGGAAACGTGAGAGGCACGCACTGAAGACAACAGCTTTGATCCAGAATCACCATTCGCTAAGTGACATAAATTTGTTTCTGAAAGTCACCCACCTTTGGTCTCTTTCCGGGTTCTCGAAGAGTCTTTTGCAGCCTTATGAGTAGTGCTACCGATATGCAACAAATGAGTGCACTTATTTCAGGCTAGCTTATTTGCCAAGCCAAGTTAGGTTAGGTGAAGCCAGTCGGTCATTCAGTCAACTTTCTAAGCGGAAAACCGAATTGCGATGCTTTCAGCTGCTACAGCTCCGTACATCACGGATAGAGAAAATAAGAACATGACAGCTACAGGTTGAAGGCGATGGTCTAGCCAGTTGATTGACAATAAATGCTTCTGTTTGTCCAATATAGCAGGAAACGTGAGAGGCACGCACTGAAGACAACAGCTTTGATCCAGAATCACCATTCGCTAAGTGACATAAATTTGTTTCTGAAAGTCACCCACCTTTGGTCTCTTTCCGTGGTCCCTATCAAGCAAGACAGCAGTTAAAAACCCGACCCATTTGAGTGGCGAGGGCTTTCATGCTTCGTTGCTAATCCATGGACTTGCAGTCGTCTCCACTCGATGCATTAATAAACAGCTAGGACTCCTTGAGGCAAAAGGTCCTTCGGCGTACGAATTACACAGCCCGATTAGCTCAACCTGTGAAATGTAATCAGCTGATCTGAGAGCAATCAGTGGTACTTCAGCGGTAGTGATATGATGCTCCCATCAATTCCACTTAACGCTCCAAAAATACCAATGGTCGAACACAAAATTTTCGTGTATCTCCTTCACACAGCGGCAATGTCTATGATTGATAAAGTGGGACAGATCAAACCACAAAAGTATACATCCTACCCATGACAGCCAAACAATATATACATACATTTTATCCAAGAACAATTCTTCAAGGAAAGATTGCAATTGAAAGCAGCTTCGTGCCACTAAAATTCTTCCTTAAAGGAAAAAAATGTCCACTGTGTGCGTCTTGTGGAAACAAATACCGCTGTGCCACAGAGTATGCCAAGGTTGAGAGATTATCACCGCGAATGGTAATAAAAGATTGTTTGTCATTCATTCTGTCTGATTTAATAAGCCCTTTTTTACCGACAACTTGATACTGTCATTTTTTCTATTGCTTTCTATCCGGTAAACTTTTGTCAAGATTAGTCGAAAGGTTCGAATGAAACTGACGCATTCATATAAAAAACACTTCTCCAGTAACTTACCACAAGTTCCTCCTTGATCGTGGATCCACACCGCATGATGGCTCGTCCATGATTATCAGGCTCGGATCGCCAACCATGCTGATTGCCATTGAGAGCTGAAAATTTATGTCACATTACATGTCCCACTGGATTCGCTTTTTGATAATTTTTAACTTTGTAAGAGAGAGACGATAGCAGTACATCAAGTAGGGGCAGGTGGTCACGGCCACAGACCGAAAGGGGCTAGGAACTATTTATAAACCCAAATCACAAACTTGTTGGCACAAAACAACGAATATTGAGACGATTTTAGCAAAATGGTTCGCCATTCAGATACCTAACTATTGGTTACTTACGTTATCACCATCCTTGTAGACAAAATTACACTAGTAGTGGAAATTGGTACTTAACCGCGGCAAAGGGTGAAGGAAGTCTTAAAAAAAGTAGAATAAGGCAGAAGGGTAGAACTCAGTGTAAGGAGTTCTACGTCCCTAGAGAAAGCGAAGACGAGCGAGGTGCCTGGTTGTTTATATTTGCCACGCTTCACAGTTGGCCTCATGCAATCTGACTGCCAAACCACCAAGCGGAGCGCCCAAGCTACGTACAGTACACAACGTCGCCAGCGAGGTGCCTTTTTGAACCAGTGTAATAGAAAAATCTTGGCAGCACTTTTAGACAAGACGCCATCGGTGAGGTTGGTCCGACCCCTTGGTAGGTGCCACTCAAAATAAACCTAACGCAGCAGCAAACGAAAGTTAGCTAAGCAGACAGGCTAGGAGGTGACAGCAAGCTCGCGACTGGGATCTTTTTTTTGGTGACGGTCCCTATGAGGTTTCTAACCGCGCGCGAATAGAGTCGCGTGGACCCCACCCATGAATGTGCGAAGATCCCTACAATAGTCACCTTCATGTTGCATTGTCACGTCATGACCGGTCCTTAACGGACGTTTCTCCAGAAAAGATTTGAGCTGAAAAATATGGCTTTCTTTGGTAGACGGTGGTGTGGTGTAGTTACTACTACATGTCCAAAGCAACTTAACCAGATAGGCCTCATCTTGTGCTCCAGCGAATTGGACTTATAGTACTTGCTTATGGACCGTTTCAATTGGTAGATGCTGCTGTCAGTTAGCTCCTACTATACTACAAGTACTTTAAAACCAAATGCTCGAAAAAAATTTGAGGCACTCAGATCTGACAGGCCAATTTTAACGGCCATAGAGTAGGGCTGTTATCACGGTCGTTTCGTAGGCAGTCCTTTGGACTCAGTGGTATTTATTTCTGACACCGAAAGTGACGCAATTTGGTGAGTCAGCGATGCGTGCGTTGAATTCTCTGTCAAAATCCAGTCATGGTTTATATGACTGCCAGGATAAACAAACTCAGCAACAAACTCAAGAGACTCATTCTGGAGTTTCAGAGAGGTACATGGTATGTGCATCTTCTAATTTTATACAACTGCCAGGATAAACAAACTCAGCAACAAACTCAAGAGACTCATTCTGGAGTTTCAGAGAGGTACATGGTATGTGCATCTTCTAATTACTTACAAGAAAAATCAAGAAAAAATCAAGTCAATCAAACAAATTCCTCAGGACTACGCTGCACTAGTTGTGTCGATCAAAGAGGGATACGTCGACCAGAGAAGATCCTATCATATCTGCGTTGCAATCTTTACCTGAATACAATGCACGCGACCAATGGAAATACCAGTCATTCAGCGCTGTTGAATAATCGGTGATTAGTGTTGGCTGATGTCACCCACTCAACGTTTGGGGTGGATTTTTCCCGATAACGTACTTATTTCTGACATAAATGAGTAAGAATATGGCTAACAGTTTAACATTCAGAAATCATATCCAACATGATATGCTCCTTTATATCTTCTCAGGATAAGTGCATTATCCAGTCGAATTTCACCAGTGTCCTATCACGATCCCAATGACGAAACTGCAAAATGTAGTCCCGATTAGGACTACCAGCCTCCTGCTGATTTGAAAAGCTAATTTATTCGGGACAACCTCCTCTAGTTTTCTAGCTTCTGGTGATAGAATCAGCCACTACTGTGCGGTCAGCGAAAAGCCTGCTGGTTTTAGCAAATGATACTGACAGTGAGGATAAACGAGACTCCAGAACAGCTGGCAACCAAATCGGGTAAGGCGTGAGCCGTTTATTCCAAAGTTTGGGCATGATTTCATATTTGCTTACTTACTGGTTTGTTAGCTTACATTTCACTGACTGGATGTACGGGCTACATTCCCAGTCCACTTTTTCGAATATGTATTCTCAGTAAGCTAGGTTTGTGAATGTAACTATCGTCCATGCCCTTCAGAGAAGGAAGCAGTGAACGGACTGCTCGTGGGTTCCGTTGAAATGATTGTCCGAGAATTCAAAGCATTTCCCCCTCATTATTAGCAATATGCATAGGTTTGGAGAAATAAACCCACTGAGATATTTTTCAGTATCAGACCGTGAGTGGTCATCGCGGGTTGGTGAAATAATATCCAAGTCAGCGAATTTACACTCATTTGCAAACTAATTTGGTTTTTGGAGAGACTCACATAGAACTCAGCTGAATCCCTCGTTTGTGGTGTTTCCAGGCAACTGAATGTGCTGCGCCAGGCCGCCTCGTGTTTCGGTCACTACGATATTCGAGATGTCGCGATACATGTATATCTTTGTAATGCACTACTCATAAGGTCGCTGAAAATTCGTTGACAGCCCACGACCGGTTTCGCCCTACTTGGGGCTCATCAGGTGGGCGCAGTCCCCGAGTTTTCGTCAACCATATGTTCTACTTGAAACCAAATTGCACGGAATTAGCGAATATACACTCGTTTGCAAATTAATTTATTTTTTCGAGAGACTCACCTGGAACCCAGCTGAATCTCTCGTTTGTGATGTTTCCAAGGGGCCTGGTACAGCACATTCAGTTGCCTAGGAATTTTCAGCAACCATATGAGTAGTGCATTACAAAATATCCAAGAGTATTTTTGCTGAATTGTAAGTAGATATGTCAAAAATCAATCCAGATAGGAGCTACTTAAATTCCCTAAAATGCATTCACCTCCATCCCTGCAATAAAGACTATTGTTCTTTGAGGAAAAAACTGCAAACCTCAAGCGGTTCTCCCTCATTTTGGATGTTCCGAAGCTGCTTTACTGGGCTGGAAGACCTGTGTGCTTTTGTGTCTCCTCCCGGAGTGGAAGTAATAAAAATAGTAGTAGTTATTTAACTGTAATACCCTTTCAGTGCCTAGCTTCCAGGCCAAACGAAGGAAGCATGAGTTCTAGGATACTGCCAGATTTCCCAAACCTAGACAAGAAAAGTCGAGATGCAGAGGTAGAGGTCAAACCATGAACCTTCCGGTCACTAAACTCGCGCTCTAACCACTGAACCATCTCGCCATCTCAGATTGACAGAAAACTTCCCTAAAGAAAGGATGTTTGCTGTTTTCGACCAAGTTAATCAGTCTCTGTGTGCATGAAACAAGAAGTAGATAATTTTTTCTAGTCTTGTTGTTTTTCCAGTTCGGATATCCCACAGGAGTGAATAAGTTCAATCAAAGGAGAGGAAGCGGTATCGACTGTACCCCAAAAGTGCACTCCAACCGCGGATTTATGGCCCACTAAAAATCCATAAAGTAGATGTCCCGGTGAGACAGACAGTAGACGGAATAGGTTCCCCACCGCACGAGCTGGCCAGATTCATGGCCGGTATTTTAAAACCCATCACCAAGAAATCTAGTACTTGCATTAAGAATTCGTATGACTTTGCCAACAAAGTAGAGGGGGTCACCGTTGAAACGGATGATATCCTGGTAAGTTTCGATGTCAGTTTGTGATATACAAATGTGCTAAAAGAAGACCTTTATGAAATAGCTAAGTGCCTGCTACTGGCTACCACCACTCTTTCAGAACTGACACAACTCACGGTGGATGAAAGAGTGAAAGACTTAAAAGCATGCCTCAATCCCACCCACTTGGTTTTCGACTCCGTGGTTTACACTCAAGAACAAGGACTAGCAATGGGGTTTCCAATATCCCCGGTTTTTCAAATATATTTAATAAAGAGTTTGAACAGAGAGCTTCAGCCGGATTCCCACACCCACCTAAGATATTCTGGCATTATGTAGTGACACTTTCGTCATGGTGAAAAGAGATAAGGTTAGTGAGTTTTACAACTATCTGAATGGACTGAGTCCACACATCAAATTTAGAGTGGAGATAGTCAGCCTTGGGTAAACTGGCCTTTTTAGACTGCATGACACATAAGGTCGGGGGACCACAGTGTACGAGAAACCAAACAACATTGGGGCGATTTTGAACTACTCGTCTACCATCCGAAGTCAGTGTTCGCCAGTATTCCCTCATCAATGTTTAGGCGTGTAAGGGCCCTGTACACAGAGGAAGCTAATCGGACAGCGGCCCAAATTGAGGCAAAAAACAAACTTCGGGGTAGTGGATATCTAGCTAGCTTGATTAGGCGTCAGTTGCGAAGAGTGCTGGTGTCGGTAGTGAAACCCAGCAGAGAATGGATCGGGACCGCTGTTATTCCATATAAACCAGGGACATCATTCAAAAAATTCTAAACGCGACCAAAATAAGAGTAACTTTTCAGAGGGGGAAAGGTACTGCGCTCTGCACCGATGCAATTGAAGGATCGCCTCTCGATAAACAGAACCAGGGATTGTGTCTACAAAATTAAGTGTAGCCACTTCACTAAGGTCTATCTAGGACAGACAGGGAACTTCACACCAGGATTGGAGAGCATAGTAGAAAAACAAACAGGCCACCGAGAAAGGTGGATGAATAACAAGCGTTACTGAAAGACCCGGCAATTGCGGAACACGTACCGGACACGGGACACAAAATAGATTTCGAAAATGTAGAGGTTCTGAGGCGAGTACTACCGTCCACATCACAGAGACTGATAGCCGAGGCGGTAGAAATCGCCAAGCATCCCAGCGTTAACAGAACAGAATGCGTGGAACTGGTAAGCGTGTGGAGAACGGTTTTGGATCAGTCAAGCTGACACGTGCTGGTGTGCGGGTATCACCCGAAATCCACTTGACCTCAACCCCCCTCAGACTTAATTGTCGGAGCACTCACAACTCCACAAAGACCAAGGAAAGTCTACCAGTGGCACCCGAGGTGAATCATCAGTTGAAGCAGCCTGAAGTGGAATATTAAGGAACCAAACCCGACTAGAATTAATTTGAAACTCTCTTTGCAATGTTGAAACTCCCCCACTTCACCAATGCGAGATTTTGACCACACAGGTATGATAATCTGAAGAGGACTTACTGATTGGTTCCTCGTTTGTCATATAACCTGGCCAATTTGGTGACCTGCTCACTTGGCCTTATGAAGCTCTTGTGTCAAAAGCGTAACGTTGCCCAAGTAAAAACTACCGATTGTTTACAAAGCCATTCTGAGAGGAGGATCACTGTCATCGATACTACTTACTCCAACCATGATATGCCCTTCTAATCCAGAGTGTTTGTAGTGATGTTGCTAGCCGTTTTACACAGTCTTTGTAGGAGACCACCCTCAAAGAACCAAACTGGTTCTATTTTCTGGCTGGGCAAACAGAAGGTTGTCCCTCCAAGAGGATGGATCACAATGAAGATGCCGTGCGCCATCAGCTAACTCAGTTACATTACATAGTCATTGTCATACGCAGTGCTTGCGCAGTAGTCTGGACTTTGTTGGACTCATCCGAGGATCTAACCCAGGACACATGCACCTGTGACACTATTACACTTTTACCAACCTGGTACCTAAAGCGCTTCCGTTAGAAAAAGCCCTTGTCAAGTGGAGGATTAGTATCCCAAGGGCAGTTTCTCGAAGGAATGGGTCGGTCAGTCAGTCTTAAACTTCACCTGCAGCTAATTCATTAGTGCAACGCTCAGAGAAACAGTGTCCCAAAATTTGCGTAGTTGATTGTTCTGTTTCACCGGATAGTCACAGATCCCAATAATGATAGAAAGCTGCGTTTTCCGGAATACCATAAGACACGTGGGAAAATATCCGTGGAGTGGGCCTTTGAGTAATTTACTGATCCTCAGTGAGACGTCCTGGAGAGTGTTTCCGCCACTCCGCCTAACTCCAAATACCACTGAGTAGCTATGCATCATCATTTTTGATGTAAATAGCCGAAGCCATTGGATATCTTGATGAATATAGCAACGCGAAGTAAGATCAAACATCTAGCACCAATTTAATGACAAAAATAATAGTTGGAACGAAACTACATGGATATCTTGCGAACTCTTGCGTGTTCTGTTGATTGCTGTTTCCTGGCGTGGTCAAGAGCTGATCACGATGCAAGTGTATTCTACTACGACATGTATGGGTTCTTATGCTTGACTAATGCAAATCTCCGACTGAGCCACGCCGTGTCTTGTAAAAAACCTCTTCAGATATGCCAAAAAGTGATAGCACACCAAGAACCTGGGTAAGCAAACGGTGTTCTTAACCGCCGGGATTAGAACTCATTCCATAGCTGAAAATACAGACTTTAAACAAGGTTGTGTGATCGTCACTTACGCGTCGCTTGCATCCACCAGATAAAGATCCCGCGTACGTGTCACGATAGCGTTCCAGGTTCACAGTATTGATAAGCCTGTAAGGCGGAGCAATTATTGACACTTGATACACGCACCAAACCAAGTTTCCGTCAAGGCTATTAGTACCTTCTACACATCTTTCTCATCCTCATGAGCTATGCTAGTAAGGTGAAGTGAGCCAACTTTGATTTGTGTTAACGGTTGACCCATTGAGAACCCCAATTTACCATTTGCTTTAGCTAAATGTACCGTACAAAGAACAGCCTCACGTGTCCGTTTGCACGCTACTCTAGATATCGCAATGTAGTTTCGTTACAAAACACTTCATATGTATGGTCATTAGCCTAAGCACGATTAGTCCTTGGGGCTCAACAGGTGGGGATGATCCTACAGTTTTCCTTAGCCTTATCTTCTGCAGTCAAAAAGTTTTTTGCAACGTCATGTGTGGTGCGTTTCGTCGAGAAACTACACTGTGGCATCTCGAAAGAAACACAAAGTGGCCTTTGTACAAGAAGAGTACCACATATTATAGATTCATCTGGGATTCTATGAAACCTCTCAGTAACTTTAAATTGGTGTGAAAATTAGTGTAGTTTGTCTATCGTCTACAATTTGGTGTTGAAGTAGAACGTAAGTTGGATGAAAACTCGACCAGTGTGTCCGTTTGATGAGCCTCAAGAAGGAAGATCCTGGTAGTGAACTGTCGAAGAGTATTCAGCAACCTTATAAGTAATGTTGCGTTGAGTACTATTGTCACTGAAGTGAGATCCTGGTATGAACTGTCGAAGAGTATTCAGCAACCTTATAAGTAATGTTGCGTTGAGTACTATTGTCACTGAAGTGACCCCTTATTTTACGCCTTTGGCAGATTGACAAACAACAAGATGGACAACCTGGTAAACTACTCACTTGGTCTTAGGAAGCCTTTGTGTCGAAAGCTATACATAGCTCAGCTGTCGACCTACTGATTGTTTACTAAAACCTCCTGAAGCAAAGACAACCACTCACTTCGTCACGTGACCATCAATGGCCTTTCGATTAATGTCACGCATAACAGAATAGATCACCAAATGTTCTCTCACGGTTAATTGAGGCCAAATCGGATTGTACTGGGGGCAAAACCCAATAATACCTTGCTCCACCGCCGTTTGGTTTGGCAATAGACGATTGGTTCGCAGATTCACAACACCTGCCTTAGAAACAATCAGTGCAGCATTAATGAAGTGTTTAATCGGAACTGTCCACTGGAGAAAGAAGACTATATGTCAGTGTTTTCAATGGAGATCTCCTGTTGTGTGAAGTCAGTCAATACTAATAAGCCAAGAAGAAGGTACAATTGTTTAACTCTTGTTTGAAATAATCAACAGTGCGAAGTTATAGAGTCTCGAACTCGCGAAAGTTTGGATATTCATCATCATCATTATCATTATCATCATCACCATCATCATCATCATCACCATCGTCATCATCCTCATCACTGTCAGCTGTAATACCCACGTACAGTGATTGTAGCTGCCACAGTTTCGTTCACCGATGATTCGGGGAGGTTGGGTAGGTGGCTGCGCATTGGAGGCGGTGGCTGATAAATTGGTGCCTAAATACAGCACTGTCAGTGGACTGTTAAGTGGGGGGAATTGGGAAGGGATCTATGCAGTCAATGCAATATCTTGGATACATGAACGCCTCTGAGGGTGAAACTGGGCCATGTCTGACAATGTCTCTAAACATTGATATGGTCCGTCTCGGGGTTCTCATCCAAAAAGACGGTACTGACCAGCGCATCTGAGTTTGCTACCAATGGCCTTTATACTTCACTGCCAATCCATTATTTAACTGCCTCTGGCTCGTTTCTACCCTTCACGTGTTTGTGCAAAAATAGGAATTCGGTCGACTGGCATACGGAGCACGTGGCCAAGCCAGCGCAATGTGCAGTGTGAAAATTACACCTAGGGAGGGTGGGTTATTTCTCCCGAATACCATTCGACATACTTCAGCATTGCTTATTCGGTATCCCCACTAGACCCGGACAATGCTCCGAGGACACCGATGGTCAAACGCTGAAAGACTTTTGACGTCTTCGGCGCGCAGCGGCTAGGTTTCTGATCCGCATAGTAGTATGGAGTGGCTATTCATCAGTCTGTGGAGGTTGGTGAAGCCCTGTATGTAATTAACAAAAACGCCACACTAATTTTTAATGTTTTGGGAGGGTGACCATGCAGATAACGCTATGGCAACTTATTAATATTTTACCAGAGGTGTGGTGTGGATCTCAGAATAAACCTCTAAGGGCTTTCGCTGTAAAGGGTTTACTCTTGAATGGTCTTACCTGCCCATGGTCCTGATGTGTTACCGAAGCCAGACATTCAAGTAGCGTAGACTTCCCAGCACCGCTTGGCCCGAGGATGCCACAAATCTCTCCTTTATTGACCTAGCAATATAAGAAGGTGAAAGAAACTGAGTTGAACTTTTCGCCACTTCCAATGTACTCCGCGAACTTTCTATCACATACAGAACCACTGTGATCACATCCTCCACTTCACAATCATACAGGCTAAAAATGTAGGTAGTGAAGCAGCAGACGAACTATGGAATAATAAACTGATCACCGTCTCTCTCTTCTGACATGAGCCACGTACGTGAAGGCGTGCCACAGTGTCCAGTTCGGATTTGTTCCCCTATCTACTATTCATATCTGTGAATAATCACCATGACCTCATACCGCGATAGTTCATCCAGATTCTAAGCCTGTGAAAACCGGTTGCCTGTGAGGTGATGCTTACAATGTCCAGCATCTCATTTCTGTCTTTTTCTGCTAAACACTGCCAAATATTTCTGGAATGCATATGGTGTTCCACAAACTTCATGTCACTTCCTGAATTCCCAAAGGCATGTTCAAAGACTGTACGTCCTCCAGCACGAATTTGCACTTTGTGGTTTCGAAGCACATGCTGAAGGACTGGATGAACCTGGTCAGATTTTTTAGTATTGCCTGCCTTGCTTCTCCTTTGGAGTGAGAGCAATGTCACCTACATATGCCAGGCCAACGAGGTTCTTGCTGCGACGACTCTGAACACTTGGGTTTTGGAGACCTCCCAGTGTTTGCCTCATTATCTTAGTAACGAAGTGAAACAAACACGTAGAGAGTGGGCACACTTTTCGTACACGGCTGTCGTCCTGCATGTCTAACCACATGCTCTGGCGCCTAGAAATACGCGAGTACAATCTTCTGGGTTTGTACAATTTGGTTAACCATAATTTCCTTTTGAAACTGGGGAAAACTGCTTGGATGGAGGCCGAAGTAAGGCAGACTAGAGAATTGTCAATTTCGCATTTTCACTCATAGAGTTTATATATACTATACTGATGTATACTACAGATATATCTATGTTGTAAAATTATGTACACTTATTATCAAAATTAACGGATGATGTATGACATTCGAATCGGAGCTGATGGTCAGCACTGACTGAACCACCGGACAGCCGCAGATAGTTTGTGCGGAACTCAGTGTGGTGCTGCTTGCACGCCAGTGGCGACGGTGTAGATTGGAGGGTGGGTGAATACATAGAGTTCTGTTGTCATCATGAGTTGATTCTGCATCAGTGAACTACACAGACAGAGGAATAGACAAAGAAATTGGTAGATAGATGGATAGATAAACTGATTGGATTACAGATAGGATAAGTTTTGCCCTATTAGCGGCCATGTGACCCAAATATTCTTCACGCGGTGAATATTGGAAGATCATTTCAATTCCATGCAGCTTACCACCTCTGGCTTCATCGATTTCAGGGCTGCGTTTGATTTTGAGTCACCTCGTGCAAACCTTTTAAGTGACAGTGTTCCTACTTCCTACTAATCTTCAGCGGAAATTTGGGCAAACTAGCCGGATAAATGGCGACCAGACTACAGAATTCGACGTCAAGTCTAGCGAACGACAAGGCTGTCTGCTTTCAAATACACTTTACCATCGCTTACGACTGGTCGCTTGAGGGGGCATCGGGGAGATGCTCTGTCATCCTTTTAGATAACCAAATCTACATGGGTCAAGTAGAACATGCTGACGAAATCGTTCTGCTGGGTACCCGAATGTGTTTAGAATTCCCAACTTCCCGGTTGGTATTTTTAACACAGCCGTCCGACAACAAGAGGCTGTGAACGATGAAGTTAACTCTTTTGATTGGTAAAATTTTATTGCGCCGGACAAAATTTTCGCTGTGTACTACGGCTGTCATCAAAGAACTTAGCTGAAGACTTTGGAAATTATATCTAGGACTGCTACCGATAAATCTGTGTCACAGAAGAGGTCAGCCGCCAATTGTTTGCGTGCTAAGACGAAGGCGCTAGAACGGATTCACCTGACAGATGGTAAGGTGGACGCCAAGTGGATCTTTCAAAGTAGGCGATCGAAAGATATTCAAAGAAAATAAAAGGTAAGCTCTCGTTTCACTTTCTTGCTTCGAAGTACCAAGATCCCAAAAGCGAAGTGAGTGAGTCACCACACCATTCGTCCAAAAGTGTACATAGGCCATTCAACCACAGGAACAAAGGTTGTTTATCATTTATTGTTTATTAACAATGGATTGTGGAACGACGACCAGCGGCAGATTTTACTGTTATGCCCTACTGAAGTACTTTTGTGGCCTTAAAACGGCATATTGGGATTGTGTCTGACTGGCAATCCGTGTGGTCCCTCCAAAAGTGTGGTCTATCTTCAGAGGCCTCTTTCGAAACGGACTGTCTCATCTGTATCAGCCTGAGTTCATTGACACCCCATAATTCGTCGCATGTGTCACCGATTTGGGCTCGATGACTACTCGGGTACTAGTAAACGACAATATGAAGGTTAGATGGCTGGAAAGGACAACGTTAAGCTAGATCAACAGGATCCAGTAGCACAGCTAGGCATGGACGTAAAAGACAACCACCTGTGACGAACCACGAAGCCAGTCATCCCATGGAGGGTGGTCTCACTGGGGGTAGGGCTGAGGATCCCACATTTACTTTGGTTCCCTATGAGTGCGTCTAACATTTTTCCTTCATATCTCAATGACTCTAGTCTGATACTTGCAGTGAAGAATGATTTTAATTGAGCTATCATCAGAAGTCTTGTTTCTTGTAAGTGGGAGATGGCTGAGTAGTTAGAGCTTGAATTTACTGACCTGAAGTTCCGTGGTTCTTGTAAGTGGGGCTGAGTAGTTAGAGCTTGAATTTACTGACCTGAAGTTCCGTGGTTCGAACCCTGTCTCTGCATCTTGACTTCTCTTGTCTTGTCTCGGGCACCCTGGCAGTATCCCATCCCTCGTGCTTCCTTCGGGCGGCATGGCAGCTAGGCACCGGAAGGGTGTTACAAATGGGCAGTAATAATTATTGTTTTCCAGAAAGTTTGGTGACAATCGGTCAATTTATTGCTGGGGAACGTTTCGCTTTTGACACAAAAGCTTCGTCAGGCCAAGTGACTAGGTTCTGAGGTTGGTCAAGATTTAAGGCGAAAGGAGAACCATTCAGTTAAGTCGAGCTAAATCGGCCGAGGGATTTTAGTGTGTTAGAGTGGTCGAACAGGTGTTGGTCGGTGGGGGAACCTACATGTGTTTGGGTCCAGCCTGGGGTCTAGTTCTTCTGGTTCGGTTCATTTTATGGTCCCTCTTGAACTTCGTTTGAGGCTTCCGTCAGTCTGTGTGGGTGAGCTAGTGCTAAGACGGTTGTGTAAGAGGGATGCTATGACCTTTGGTCGGTTGGGGTTTCCACCCCCATCCCCCGGTTTTTTTCCAATGATCCTAAGTTGATTGACAACCACACCGTCACGTGTCAACTCGGCTTATCTAAGACCGCTTTCCATACGCTCGCTAGCTCCACACCCTCGATTCTATTCACGCTGTGACGCTTAGTAGTTTCCACCGCCTTGGCTATCAGCCGCTGTAGTGTGAATCGCAGTCCTAGTCTTAAAACTTCCACATTCTCCAGATCTCTTCTATGTCCCGTGTCTAAGGCATGTACCGCCATCGCTGAGTCTTTGACCAGCGTTTGGTATTCTTCTGCATTCCTTGGTGGTTTGTTAATCCTTCTTTTATGCTCACCTATTCGTGTGTGCAATTCCCTGGCAGGTTGTCCTATATAAGCCTTAGCGCAGTCGTTGCAGTTAATTTTATACACACAGTCTCTAGTCCTTTCAACCGGCAGGGGATCTTTCACAACTAGGCATGGACGTAAAAGACAACCACCTGTGACGAACCACGAAGGCAGTCATCCCATGGAGGGTGGTCTCACTGGGGGTAGGGCTGAGGATCCCACATTTACTTTGGTTCCCTATGAGTGCGTCTAACATTTTTCCTTCATATCTCAATGACTCTAGTCTGATACTTGCAGTGAAGAATGATTTTAATTGAGCTATCATCAGAAGTCTTGTTTCTTGTAAGTGGGAGATGGCTGAGTAGTTAGAGCTTGAATTTACTGACCTGAAGTTCCGTGGTTCGAACCCTGTCTCTGCATCTTGACTTCTCTTGTCTAGCTTCGGGCACCCTGGCAGTATCCCATCCCTCGTGCTTCCTTCGGGCGGCATGGCAGCTAGGCACCGGAAGGGTGTTACAAATGGGCAGTAATAATTATTGTTTTCCAGAAAGTTTGGTGACAATCGGTCAATTTATTGCTGGGGAACGTTTCGCTTTTGACACAAAAGCTTCGTCAGGCCAAGTGACTAGGTTCTGAGGTTGGTCAAGATTTAAGGCGAAAGGAGAACCATTCAGTTAAGTCGAGCTAAATCGGCCGAGGGATTTTAGTGTGTTAGAGTGGTCGAACAGGTGTTGGTCGGTGGGGGAACCTACATGTGTTTGGGTCCAGCCTGGGGTCTAGTTCTTCTGGTTCGGTTCATTTGATAGTTCCTCTTGAACTTCGTTTGAGGCTTCCGTCAGTCTGTGTGGGTGAGCTAGTGCTAAGACGGTTGTGTAAGAGGGATGCTATGACCTTTGGTCGGTTGGGGTTTCCACCCCCATCCCCCGGTTTTTTTCCAATGATCCTAAGTTGATTGACAACCACACCGTCACGTGTCAACTCGGCTTATCTAAGACCGCTTTCCATACGCTCGCTAGCTCCACACCCTCGATTCTATTCACGCTGTGACGCTTAGTAGTTTCCACCGCCTTGGCTATCAGCCGCTGTAGTGTGAATCGCAGTCCTAGTCTTAAAACTTCCACATTCTCCAGATCTCTTCTATGTCCCGTGTCTAAGGCATGTACCGCCATCGCTGAGTCTTTGACCAGCGTTTGGTATTCTTCTGCATTCCTTGGTGGTTTGTTAATCCTTCTTTTATGCTCACCTATTCGTGTGTGCAATTCCCTGGCAGGTTGTCCTATATAAGCCTTAGCGCAGTCGTTGCAGTTAATTTTATACACACAGTCTCTAGTCCTTTCAACCGGCAGGGGATCTTTTAATTGCACCAAAACGGAGCGTAGCGTTTTTCCCTTCTGAAAAGCTACTCGAATGTTGGCTAGGTTCAACAACTTTCGAATAACCTCCGATGTTCCTGCTTTATATGGAATGACTGCTGTGCCAATTCATTCCTTACTGGATCTACATCCTGGAGCCAATAACTTTCCTAGTTGACGCCTAACCAAACTCACTGGGTATTCTATTTCATGAAGTTTGTTGGCAATCTCGATTTGAGCCGCTGTTCGGTCGATCACTTATGTGCACAGCGCTCTAACTCGATGAAACATCGATGAGAGAGTACTGGGGTACACGGACTTTGGGTGTGCTGATGAATAGCTTAATATGGTTCCTGTGTCTGTTGGTTTCTGGTAGATAGTCTTTTTCAATTTCCCACCAATCTTATGTGTTATACAGTCCAGAAAGGGTGATATGCCCCAGGTGGACTCTATTTCCATGCTAAACGGAATGTGTGGGTTTGAACTATTGTGTGAGTCGTGAAAGTTGTTCGCGTTATCTCGTTTGATTACAACAAGCGTGTCGTCAACATAACACCAAAGACTTCGGGTGGACAATGATATCCCACCAAGGCTATTTGTTCGAAGTCCTCCATGTAAATATTGGCTAAAACTGGGTGTATTGGAGATCCCATTGCAAGGCCTTGTTCTTGTGAGTCGACAGTTGTGTCAAAAACAAACTTATCAGGACTCAAACACACCCTTATGCCCTCAACTATTTCATCCACCGAGAGCTGTGTCCGTTCCCCGAGTGTCGTGTCTGCCAGTAACAACCTCTTAGTTACCTCCAGAGCATCTACCCTAGGGATGTTTGTGTACATTGAGATTACGTCAAAACTCACGAGGACTTCGTCCATCTCCAAAGGAAGCTCTGCGACCTTGCTGGCAAAGTCAGACGAATTCCTAATGAAGGTGCTTGATTTCCCCGTGAACAGTTTTAGTATACTAGCTAAGAATCTGGCCATTTCATGCGGCGGCGAGTCTATACCATCCACTATTGGTCTTATCGGTACATCTGCCTTGTGGATTTTTGGCAGTTCGGCGAGTCGCGGTTGAATCGCACTTTTTGGATACAACTGATACCACTTACCTTGCCCTAAATTGTTTATTACGGATGTTAAATATCTCCCAGCTTCAACCTTACTCTTATTCATTATTGAAGTAATACTGCTACCAGTAATGTGTCGACAGGGTCCATCGGTGAGGTGTTGCCTGACCTTTTGGAGATAGTTGCTCTTATTCATCACTACTGTGGCTTTATTATTATTATTTATTATTATTATTACTATTTCTTGCGAAGGCCAGACAGTCATATTGGAATGGTGCTACAGCTGAACGATCGAATGATTGAGTTTTGGCCGTTTTAGAGGTTTTAGTATAGATCCATCTTTCAGCTACTGTTGAACTTCATTTCACCAAAGATGGGTTATGTTCCGTTCTGTTTTGAGGCACTTCGTTCATGTGCTGTACTAGAGTCGTTATGGTCAGCGGTACAGTTAACTGTTTTTCTTGCGGTCTGTTGATGGTACATTGACTGGGCAAGTGAACACAAAAGCTCCTCATCAAATCAATACCCATTTCCATCTTTCGTGTTAGTTTTAATCTGGCTGTCAGATGTTCTTGATAAAGCCGAAGATATACTCCAGTAAACTTACGTCATGAGCACTTTGTTGTTCCACTAGCTTTGCAACTTGACTCAGACAGCTGTTTATTTGTGTCAGGACTTGATGAGAGACCCACAATGAGGCCACACTAGAAAAATCCGAGCTTCCCAAAGGATGTGAGTTTCTGATAGGCGTGGATTCCGGTATTGCCCTGAAGTACAACTGACTGAATTGAGTGTCGACTCACACTCAAACGAGAAAACGTAGAGATGAAATCAAGCCGTCAAACGACATTGATTGTCACTGTGGAGTCATCGAAAATTGAACTGATCGATGCAGCCATTGAATGACGGTACACCAGTGTCACTCGTGATGTGGTCCCAATAAAATAACAGTAGGCTGAAGATCACAACTTTGTCTCGTTATTTAAGGAAAAAAGTTCAAACGTGTCGATTTTGATTCACTTTAACAAATAGGCATAATAAGCCACCGACCAGCATTTTGCTCTTAACTTAGTCGGCATTATGCAATCTCGAAACGGATCAAGGTGGCCTCTATATACAGGCTGATGATTGACATCAAAGCATCACGAACGATATTTCATGGTGGTTTCACATCACTTTACACATACGTGACCAATATGAGGCGTACAAGCGAGAAAAACGAAGAATATATCCAAATGTGTCCTAACGATTAAACGGGGTTTGATTATCCACACTATACTTCTTTTGCTGACTACCCAAACTTTCAAAAGGTGCCGTTATTTGAGTTTGCTAGAAAAAGGAATCACTGCTTTATGGGATGGATAACTGCATTTGATTCATTTCATGTAGGTAAAGTGAGTTGTTCCGACCTGACATCAAATTAACAATAAGACGTACGGCAAACTGGGTAAAAGAGTCTGATGAAATACATGGTTGCCCTGTTTTGGTGTTTTCTAGTGGCGAAAGTTTGTGACCAGTGACGGTTGAAACGGAATTACAACTTAACCCACCAAGAATGAAATATTCGTGAGCGCCACTTTGGTTGGCTCGGCTACTCGAAGACTGGCCGGTCTGCATGCATTCAGGCAGCGGCTGAGAACTGGCAAAGATCCCGGAAAGTAGCATTTGGTCAACTTGTACACAAAAGCCACAATGTTGCTGTCCGTGACGATCTGAAAGATGGAGTAAAATATGTTCAGATGGAGTCTCAATTCTCCACCAGGACATTTCTAGTTCGATTCTGGATTATTCAACCCCCAGAAAATAACAAAACCACCTACCCTTCCTTTCTCTTTGCAGAGTCCCTCTGGAAGAAATATTACTCCTACTGCTGAAGATGCCAAAGCAGCTGCTCTATCTTCAAATTCAAGGAAGATTCTGATAATATTCCGTTGAGTCTCACGGTATCACTAAGATAACGAAAATAGCGTAACTCCGCTTGAGTAACTTGTGGTCTCCAAGTGGGAAATTCGGAAACTGTGACCAAATGAGTGGGATTAGTAGTGGGTTGTCAGGCAGCTTTCAGCGACCTTGTAAATGGCTATGGGTTACGTTAAATACCATGTCGTTATCAGTGAATAGATCGGAGGAACAATAATAAGCGGCCCCAGGCCATTTACTGATAAGCAGCTTCAAAGATTACGAAAGTAAATGGATGGATGGGAAAGAACCTTTGGTGAAGGCCACCTGACTGCTTGATCAACTTAGATAACCGTTTCTACAGAAATAAGTGGATAAATTCGGGAATTATTTGTGAATTACCACTGAGTTACCTTCAACCGACGAAACAGTTTTTGCTCCCGCTTACTACCGCAGTAGTTTATTTGGATTATAAGTGAATTATAAATGGATTACAAATGCACTTAAGCAGTTTTGTCTGAGAAGTGGGAACTTCAAAGCAAAGCAGGCTACCAATCAATACTGGTGAACGTAACGAGGTTGACACCTATTAGACATTCTTTACTGTATAAGTCCTTGAAGAAATGGTCGATAAACCAATGGACACGGATCAGCCAGTGTATTATTATAGGTGAACAGAGTGACTTACTTACGGCAAGTACAACGTGGTTAACCGTCAGAATTGATAAGTTATTTGCCTAAAAGGCATTAACTGAGGGTTCATATAGCCATGCCTTCGTTTGGTGGCAGGGATGCGACCCTGAAATACTACTATTATGAGTCTGCTTTTATTTTATAGCGCATTAACAAATTAAGATCATTTCTATCAAACGATGCGTGCACTTGGTCCTTCCAGATGCTGACATCTTCAAATAACTAAAGTCTTGGTAATAAGTCAGTTTGCTTCAGCTGAATCGTCCTCTAGTCGGCAGACTGAGACCTCTGGCCACCCTTTGTCCACACAAACGTGAAGACTTCCAGTTTGGATCTAAAGGCATCATTTGGCTAAGTTTTCTGCAATCTGACCACGACTCTCTTAGTTTTCTTAAAATCCGAAGTTACAAGAATAGCAAGTGTCTGAAATTTAGCACATCAAGTTGAAGGGACTGACAGGTAATACTCATGGACCATCACCAAATTGGTAAACCTGCGGTGAACTTCAATTTCACCAGAAAAACGAAAAATAGCTCTAATTTTGATATAGATCCGGATCGCCTAAAGTTACAAAAATAGCAAGTGTTTGAAATTTAGCACATCAAGTTGAAGGAACTGACAGGTAATATTCATGGACCATCGCCAAAGTGTTAAACCTGCGGTGAACTTCAGTTTCACCGGAAAAACGAAAAACAACTCTAATTTTGATATAGATCCGGATCGCCTCTGGTTTTCCCAATGATCGCCGTGGAAATAATTCAACCATGGGGACAAGGGACTTTCCATGAATTTCCAAACAGATATTTCGCCATTCCCTTGGAGACTATTGAGCTGTTTCGTTCTCGTTGGGAACCATCTGCGGTGCTCATCTCATGGAGATCGAGAAAGTTTCAAACACAAGAACACCTGGCTATTGTTGTGAACACAGCCGTTTGGTGGTCCTCAGAAAACAGCAAGTCATCAAACAATATCCTATTAACTCGATGTTGAGATCACTGTTATTCTCTCAGAATGCGAACCACCAGGTTTAAATGAACTAGGACGTGGAAAAAACCGCTTGAAGTAGGTGGAACATTATTTGACCAGAATTTTGGTAGATTCTGAGGAATTCGAATACATATTTACCAAACTACTAGAAAAAATTTGGATTCGATTAGGAAGGGTTTGGTATAGAGCCAGTAGGTTTATAAATAGGTAACTTTTCGCCTCTAACACGAAAGCTTCGTCAGACCAAGCAAATAGGTTACCGAGCAGGCAGAGTTTTCGGGCAGACGAAAAACCGATGAGCAGATCACCGATTTTCTTACTAGATCAGTATTGGATGTCTGCTGAACTTTTTTCTCAGTTAATAAGTGTGCCTAAACCCTACGATTGATGGTTTAAGGGAATTTAAAATCATTTTGATCGGGTTTGAGCCCTTGATCTTGTGGCCCAGGGGATTTCAACTGAGGATTTCTCTTGGATGTCACTGGTAAATGTTGTTAGTCGGTTTAGGTTCGTGCATGCTGCAACAGTTTGGTTAGGAAGAGGGTGGTATTAGATTTCTTCGGTCAGCTTAAGCAAGGTGCTTCAGGTCTGAGCTACTTCGTTCAAGAACCAAACAACAACACTTGTCAGTTGGGCTCATCTACAACCACCCTCCAAACGCTTGCTAGTTCTACGCTTTCTATTCTGTTCACACTGAGACATTTGGAGATTCGCACTGCCTCCCCTCTAACGTGAATCAGAGTGCGCGCCCCCAAACCTCACCATTTACTGAACCTGTTTGTCCCGTGCCTGGTGCGTGTCCCGCTAATGCTGACTTTTTGAGTGACGCTCGATATTTATCTGCGTTTCTCGACGGTCCGCTTCATTTTATTTTGTCCTCAGCGATTCTGGTGTAGATTTCTATAGCTGTCCGTCCCATTAGAACCTTATTGGTCACATTCCACGTTTTAGTTCCCCGGAAGTGACTTTGTTAATTGATTTTCCGTCCACGTAAAAACTCGGCCAACATACGCACTCGACCTGACAAAGCCTTCGTGTCGAAAGCAAGCCGTTATCCCGAATTTTCACCAAACGATAACTTCTTAATCGGTTTAAAAGGCTTCCAGTAGTTTAGTACACTTTCCACCAAATTTTGTGGAATATCTGGGAATCGAAGCTGAACAGATATTCGGTTAGTTAATGAGTGCCCAAAGTCCCAATGTTCCAAGTCTGAACTGAAACAGAAAAACGAGTGGATTGAAATCATTTTGGACGCTCTATTCATTTATCCTCACTAAGAGATAGGTCCTCCAGAGAGGTCAAAATCCAAGTGGTATCTCATATACGGAAACACGAATCTTGTATTAAGGCATCAGCTATTCCATGTAAATTGTTTCATACACCAACTTCATTAAAACTCTAGGGAGATTAGATGTTAGCAAACATGTTAGCAAACCTAACAACGAAGTGGTTTTTCATACGTAATGGATGCATGCATTTTTTTTACCTTATCCTTTTCGACTAGTACGCCATACGCCCTAAATCTGACGCAGTCACGTTAATATTCTATCCACCATTTTGCAGACGCTTCTTTGCTCTTCCTAGACATGTTTAGCACAGGTGACTTAACTCAGACAGCGTTCAAGATAAGTCCCCCAGGATGCAGTGTCGCGATTCCCCGATGGAAAGCAAACTGCCTCGGCGGCTTGGTCACTGAAAGCGGAAACACCCGAAATTTCGGTGTCGCACCACTAGAGACAATTTTTCAAATCATTGTCAGAATTAAAGAGCCGATTATTTGCCTAGTCGTGTAATAGACGTGATCCATACGGTGAACGGTTTTGTAGAAAGTAAGTGAAAGCAACCATGGCAGATAGTGAGTGGACATGACCGTGCATTACCGATTCGACAACCGTAGTTCAAACCCCCACTAGGGCTCCTTCAGATTGTACGGTGGGCCCCTGGAGAAAAACTTTTATAAATGCAGGTATAGTAACACAGGAGCGTGCTGTTAAATTTCTGTTCCTGTCTTTTTTGTAAGCGACATACCGAGATTTCAAACGCTGCTGCTTCTGAGTGAATCATTTTCATAGTCAACAGCTTTCTACTGGATGCGTTGATTTTAAACGGCTGCCGAGAAAAAATCGCGAGAAGAAAATCTTACATCCACTCCTGATCGATTGTACACGGATTCGTCAATTTCTGTTTGCCAGTTCCTAAGTGGCTGTAGAGGATGGGGCTTTATATATTGTATGTATGCCAGGGACAATTGGAGCACATCGTCGTACCGACGAGATTTTTGTTCCAACATGTTTGCTGTACAAGTTCTCTGTCCTGCCCTTTCCTTTGCTGGAGAGGCCACTTCAGAAGACCATTTAGAAACTGTCTCTTCCGAAGAGCGTTTACCTATCGAAAAGGCTTTATTGTCGAAATACGACTTTTTGGGATCAGAATTACAAGTACACATGGCGCAAGCGACATGATAAGATCAAGTGGCCTGAGGGAGTTGGTTATCGGAACATCCATCCGGTAGGCAATAGCTAGGTATTCGGTCTGCACTACCAGAGTCGTGTGTGCACTTGAACTTGTTATCTTAAAAGCCACTAAATTTCTTTCGTCAGTTTGTCAAAATATGTCCCCACGTTGTCTTTCTTGAGATAGACCAATCCAAAAGGTGAAATGTTACCATCGTTCTCGTTTATTGTTTTATACCTGTTGTTTGCTTGTTCGCCTGTTTCCAAAAGCGGAGCCTTCTATCACGCAATCTGACTGACTCGTCACAGCAGATTTGAAGGGTAGATTTCTTCACGCTTTGCGCCGTTAACTGGCAGCTTTGAAGGCCATTAGTAGCAGGTTGCCTCAGTCAGACACGCACCAAGTACTGCTGAACTTATCCGATCTCCTGGTAAACATGCCGAACAGCTAACGGCACTCCAATCTCCTTTAGATTAGTTCGTTTTTTGGTTTCGTCTAGTCAGCCTTTGGTTGCGGCAGTATGGGTCATTTATATAGTTAATACTGGGGACACAGCAACGCATTAACACAAATGGACAAAAAACACTTACTGTACCCTTTCGTTTGCCTCGGATAAATTCCCCAACTTCCTCAGTTGGACGCTGGGAGTCTGGGAAATAGGATATGGGAGAAAGAGAAACAGGATTCATACTGAGAGTCGTATGGTGCAATGATCCGTCGGCTAGCTAGATTAATTCTAAAGCATGGCCACGCATAGGAGTCCGTTTACCTTCAGTTTATGATGTCTGTTTATGATGGTCGGGGTAAAGTTCTATAGAGTCCTAGCCTCGGGCAGTTCAGCGTTATCTCAGCCCTCAAGCATCCTTCTGGCGGCGTGGTAACAAGGCACTGACAGATAAACTATTTTTATTGTTTACTTACAAACCAGGTACTCTAAGTTGGAGTTTTATACGTGACCTCCCAAATCTGTATAGCCTCCAGTGATCCGAGAATTGTGGCCCATCTTCCCGGGTTTGTGAGGTCAAAAAGCAAACAAAATGGGCTAAAAACAGTCGCGATAACTTGTCCATGTTGTTGAAGAGCACCGGAAATGTGTGGAAGTCGTCCGCCCCCAAAAGAACCTGGGGGATGTTCTAAAAACTCCTCCACAAATTTGCTTGCTGACGATCGGGACGACCAATGAATCACACGATTCCTGTGTCGAAATAATCAAGTGTCATATTAACCGGGCACCTTTTAACACTCTTATGGAAACCCCTGATTGTCAGGCGTGGTGCTTATTTCTGTTGTGTCAGTAGGTGTAAAATGGCCTCCAATCCCTGTCCAGCGACTTTGACAACTACTCCGAAAACCACATTAGAATTACAAATTTGCTTGTTGACGATCGGGTCGACTAATGAATCACACGATTCCTGTGTCGAAATAATCAAGTGTCATATTAACCGGGCACCTTTTAACACTCTTATGGAAACCCCTGATTGTCAGGCGTGGTGCTCATTTCTGTTGTGTCAGTAAGTGTAAAATGGCCTCCAATCCCTTTCCCGCGACTTTGACAACTACTCCGAAAACCACATTAGAATTACGCTGTAGTACCGCAGAACAATCTATCGCCTGGATTTCAGCGTTCAAGGCCGACGCCGAAGTATCGGCCATGGCATCAAACAGTGGAACAGAAAAAAGATGATACTCTCCTTGGACTTCGCTACAGAGTAGTGCTGTAGGTAGCAACAGTCCGTGATAATCTTGGGGCGGATTAATCCCTCTCAAAGAGAACGGCACCGAACAATTTCACTGGGGCATATCCTACTGTGAGGCCAAGTTCAACGAACTGATCAACGGCTTTCTAATCAACCACCTGTGAACACACTCAAGCTACCAGTATTCTGACACAGTGACAAACTGGGAATGTGATAAATCCGCACAGCACACTACACGTAAACTTCTGAAAGTTATGTGGAATAGCTCGAGTGGGCTCACTGGCCGTTGCAAATTTATTGCCAAACCCGGCTAACAGTTCAACAAATTGTGGAAACCCATATAAAGTGTGACTATTCTTTTATTGACCACCGTTAAACCAACCACATTCACACGACGGGCAGTATTCAGAGGATCTGTTGAGTCTTGTGAAGGGTATCAAAACTCCTACGTAAGTCTCATGCTTGCTCTTTCGTCCACTAGGATGTACCAGAAGGCACGGTAGCTTGGGGCGGCTGTTTACAGACGCAGGTAAATTATTACCGCAGTACTTATGGAGCTCTCGTGGTAGAAGACCACGCTAGAATCTTCATTATGGTGCGAGAAAGGCCGACCTTAAAATCCTCGATTCTGATTGGCTCACATTCTGGCTAGTCCGTGAGTGCCTTCGTATGATTCACTGCCGGCTCGCGACACATCCGTCCAACAAGCCTACTATTCGGTTATCTGGAACAGCTCATCACTGGACAAAACCTCGTAAGGGAAACCATTACCTCGTTATAGCTAAAGAAGCTTTTCCGCCGACCATCATGGATGTAAAATCCATCCCGAAGAGAATCCACCTCCAAAAAAGACGAAGAGGTATCCTCGTGTTATCTACTCTTCGTTAAATTATTCTTAAATGCGGTGGGAAAGAGTTTGCCACACAAGTATCAGTCTCATGATCAGTTAGCATCTAGTTTCCGATTAGCTCAAGCAAAATTCTATACACTGGATAAGCTGGAATTCGAGAAAGACGTAAAAATCTTTCGAAATTTACTCTGGAGCACGAGAGGATACTTAGAACAGGTTCCAAGGGGTCGTTCAGTTTTTGGGAATCGTTTTCAGCCTTTTGTCCATTGGCGCTTGTAGGGTTTTAAATTTTACTGGTAACTTCGGATATTTGTAGTACAGCGAAAAACTAACGTCTATGTGGCTTATTGATGTGTGGTAAGACGGTGAACATGGCAGCGTACTGCCATCAAACCGTAAGAGAATTTTGCATCAAAGCCTCCTAACAGAGGGAGAAAAAGCTCTGGTCTGTTGCCATGTGTGGACCTTTCACGGATCATACACCTTCAGACATTCAGTCAGGCTGCATAATTGTAACAGTTCGGTGCCAAGTATGATCAACACAGATCCTCAGTGCCAACCCTTCAGTATTCGAGTGTTTCTATAGGATATTGAACTAACTACCTGCTACATAGCATCCTGACAAGACCAATCCGGTTTTTTCTTAGACTGGTAAGCACTGTAGGAAAATAAACTAGCTCATCCACGCAAACAAATAGATTTTCCTTTATTCTGTATGATTCTACAGGAAGCAGGATGGATATTTGGCGCAGAAGTGTCATGAGGATTACATTCGCCAAGTAGAAAATAGCCCAGGTGAATAATTCATTTGCTGTCTCCTAAAGATAGCTTGTCTTACGTGAGGTTTAGACGTTATTGGTATAAGCCCGAAATGTTCAAAAGACAATGGACGAGTTATGGTGCTCAGGTCAAAACTTATCTAATGGTTACATACTTAAAACAGTGGAAATAGTAAAAAGTACACAGTAAAGTTCAAACGCGACTTCCAACTCGTCCGGAAAAATTGGCATGTTCTGTGTACAACCGGTTGACTGGCTGACTGAAAAACCAACTGACCGGATATCGCAGTGTCTTCGTGACTAATAAATATGTGTGAGGTGGTGCGGATAACATCAGGGCAATCTAACTGCTCGGACAAAGCACTGCTGACGAAACAGGGCTGGATTGCCTAGGAGTATTGCAGCAGCCTTAGTCGTTGCCAGTGACTACCTTTATGGCACTCCCGTAGATGACACGAAACTATTCGTCGTGCCCTGTGTCGACTAAGTGCGGAACAACGATACCTCAAAAACATCTTGCACTGAGCAACTTAAAAATATAGTTCAAGGATACATTCCTTTTTGGGTTCTCAGCGGAGTCATCATATCATTTTGAGTGTCGCCGTCTCACACTCAGTCGACAAAGACCATGTCATCAACTCGAAGCGTCTCGAGTTCCATGCAATTTCCATACAGCCTGGCAATGTCAATCCGATGGTGTGGCCTGGCAACGGCTGAATCTCTTGCAATATATCTCACCAGAAGGCTTTATGTGACCGCTTGGCTTGCCTCGGTACAATTTCGGCATTAGTCTGTCCTTGATGGTTATCATTCTCCATGGGCGTGATTTTCTGGAAGAACGACTAGCCTATAATTACATGGGAGACGATCAGAAACGTGACTCGGCTCACTGGTCACTCCAAATAGTTGTTTTATAAATCATTTCCACGGACTGCATAAAACCTTCAACTCTCTACTGAAAAAAAAGTCTAAAAATTTACGGCCAACAAATTTTGACATAAAACAAGGTCTCCAATTGAAAATTGATAGATTTTACAATTACCGGGTACGCTATAACCAACAACCCACCCGTGCGGTACAACGTGTTCAATTCGCTAAGTGGCTGAAGTCGATGCAGGCCCTCATAGTACTTTCGTTCCTTTTGTTTGGGAGTTATCTGGTGCATGTAAATATTGGCACCTAAGAACAGCGAGGCCGTGACCAGAATGCGGAAACAATGCTAAAATACAGAGAAACAAACAGGGTGAAGGATATGAATATGAATATATATGAATATATATGAATATGATATGATATCACAATTTCGCGGTTACTTCTGTATCATCCTATTCCTACATTGAAAGCCCATCAGTCATGGAACAAGGTGTTGTACAAGGCAAGTTTGGTAGCACACAATGATAGTGGCATTCGTTTTAGTCCTCTTTTTCTGTTGTAAACAGTTACCTCTTTCGAGTGTGTGTGCAACTTAGGTTAAACTACAACCTCGTCACTGTTACTGCACATTTGAGGGATTAGCTTGAGACCTCGCACTTTATTCTACACAACAGACAGTCTCCAGATAAAACCACCTAACTGCCAAGTAATTGGGCTTGAACTTCCTAAAGTCACAGTCGGTAACTTGCGTTTGTTTGCCATCTTGGGCTTTCCGACTGTTTACAACACTTTTATGCTTGGTGCATGGCGATCATTTTTCATTCTTGCCATTGACATTCACACACTAACTTGCGTTTGCTTGCCATCTTGGGCTTTCTGACTGTTTATAACACTTTTATGCGTGGTGCATGGCGATGATTTTTCATTCTTGCCATTGACATTCACACGTGACCCAGTATAACTGACCCTTTGTATCTGGTTTGCGAGTTCTGACTAAGCTAGCGCTTGAAGGGCATTAAGCATTGTTTATCCTTCCCTCAGTTGTTGGTCTTTACGTGCATGTTTCCATACCAAACGTTCTTACATACATTGAGATTCATCTTGTCTGACTAGAACATTTGGTGGCATGACTTCGAATGGGACGCTTCCCTCGTTTTATCCAACATTCTCCTGCAACCCTTCCACATTTATCGCCTGCATTTGCCTTTTGTTTGTGACCATGCTCTTCGAAAATAAACGATAACGGAGTATTAGTAGTGATAAAATATAGGCTGTACAAAGGACACTGAAATGTGTACCTGCATCTAAAAGATTATTCATCTCTTAGGATAAAATCCAGCCTCCAGTCCGAAACCTCCTGGAGTTCGCATTGTTTATGGATGACCCTCGGATTGGTCGGTTGTCAGACCAGGATGTTCATCAATGATGCAGTGTTACTTTTCAACATCAGCATAATCTCTCTGATGTAAACGACGCGAACGTCCTCCGAAAAGTCGGGCTAGTACTTTCAGTCTGGAGGTCGACTTCTCATTACTGCAGAAGTCATCCGATAACAGAAAATGTGACTGAAGTGTGTGAATAAAGGGTGAGTGATGTTTCAAGCTGTCAACCGTGTATTTCATGAAGTTTCCACTTCTGGGAGCCTAAGTGAGATCAATTCCGCTAAATTTTGAAGGATACGATTGTACGGCTGACTTTCAAAAAGAAACTTTAGATGAAAGAAAAGAACATGCATAGGCGCGATAAGACTAGGAAACGCCTGGATCTGCCGGCCTATCTTATCGTTTGAAAACCGATGTAAGAAGCTTTCGCAACCTGGAACTATCTCATGACACGACAGCGATCTACTGTTTTAGAGATTCCCCCTTGTTTACCCTAAGAGCCACCAGAGCTACAACCGTTGACAAGAACCACAAGGAAACTGCAGTTAAACCCTTAGTATTATATATTGAGTCATGAACAATCCTTTCAAAGGTGTACGTTCAGGAATCTCTCATCATGCCTGGAGACAGCCAGACGTGACTAGCTGGAGGTCTCCGAGTAATTTGGTCTACAGCTCAGGAAACGGTGGATGGTTGGTCAGCTCGGATGCTAACTGTGACCTGACAGGAGCAGAAAGATTTTTCGTCGGGTGTACAAACTTGGTTGAAGCCTGACGATTCTGCGCATTTAACCCGTTGTAATGTGCGTATTTCTCCTAACTTTTAAGTCTAACCATGAAAAGCAACAAAATCTGGTGACTGCCACCGACTGATAGATTGCATTCAAGGGCTGCCATTCGGTTCACAGTAGGTTTACGTGGATCCATATTGAAGATTATCAGGAAGCAGCGGTTAGTTCCCTATTCTTGATTCTCATTCAGTTTCGGTGAAAAAGGCCATAAAATTTGACCTTATAAGCCCTATTTATCACCAGTCGAGCAAGGCGTGTACTCATACGTGCTACGGTTACTTGCAAAAATGGAGAGAAATAGATAGACAGAAATACGCTGCTACGTTACGAACACTGTAACACAAATAGGTAGTCGACTAAAATTTGGTCACCAAAGTTTGGTGATGATCACATCTAGAGGGGAACTAAAACAAGAACTCCGTCTCGTGGTAGCCATTGGTGGGTTGTCCTAAGAGAGATTGATTTTGGTACATTGAAATGCAGTACAGTAGCCTCTGGGTAACACTTCAGATTACTGTGGCACTGCCTCAACCCCAGTTGAGGTAAAGTATGACAATTCACTACGCACACCGACTCATCATCTGTCGAAGGTGTGAGTGGAGAAATAAGTAAAATGTTGGCAACTTTTGAAAGCGTCAAGAGATTTGCGCAACTGGGAGTAGGGTGTGGAGTAGCCACGAAATACCGTCCATGCTAAGGACCTTGACCAATCCTGGTGGTAGCCATTCTGTCACTTGCCAAAGGGCTAAGAATGTGCACACATAAAAGTGACATTTTAACACTAAACCTTCAAAGTATTAACCCCTAAATGATATGCAGCAACCTCACTCGTTTTTCAGTGGAGCAAGATTTGTAAGAAGTGATCTGAAGCTGACACGCCTTATGAATGACGACTTTACAGAGGGGGGCTTAGTGGATTGATTCCTCTTGTGAGTATGTTTCTCATAAGGTAAAATAGCGGAGATTGAGGTTTTAGTTCTGAGCTTCATTCAGTAAGCAACTCTAAAATATGTACGGCTGTTTTAACAGTAATGAGAAGCACCGGTGCTATGCATCCCACAGATCCTGAATACCCATAGGATTTCCTTCTATATTGCTGCATTAAATAAGGCGTATGCCGTGACGAATAATCTTACTTGATCAACTGAGTGAGTGAGATCTGTTCTTAGTATCCTTAATTCAGTGGATTTCAAAGTGCATCAACGTGGTAATCTGTTTTTAGCTAAGTAACGTTTCCATCGATCGTGTCCAGACCCACAGCAATCTGATTGGATAATTGGGTAGACTTACGATTATCTGACTAATTTTTACGTGATTGTACTCCAGAAGTCGCCACAGTGGTGGCATGAAAATGGCATTTGTGGTTCCGAATAGGTACACCTTCTCTAGCCGTACGCGCTGTAGAAAAAATGGGAAAAAACACTTGCACAGTGATATTGCACAGCTAAAGCGGAACATTTTGCTTGAAAAAAAGCTGAGAAACTTCGTTATTCCAATCAGAACTTGACTGGTAGAAAGCGACTCAGGTCTTTCACGTGGCTAGGGACTTACAAAGTCCGTTAGGAACAGAGTTAGGAATGGATCCGCAAATGGGAAGATGAACAGGATACAACCGTAGGCAGCTTCCAGCATACTGAGTGGGATGAAGAATATGGTTATATTGACAAAGATGACAATCTGGAAGGAAGAACGAGAGGCAGGGTCAATCCGACACAATAGTTTTCTAAGAAGTCAAAATACTGTGGACAGGATTCTCTATTTCGCCCGATATACCACTATTTAAGGTCCATGTCTGTTACGGAAGAAGGATACTGCTAGGATAATCGATTTTGTTCCCTAATGCTAATCTGAAAAATTGTCGAGGGAAACACGTGAGGTGAAATAGTGCCTAATGTATCACTGGATATGCCCCACTAGTGAAGTAGCAGGCTGCTAAACTCATCTATCTTTGTCCGTCAAAAAACGTCGCCTTAGTGAATCGGCATAGAGCACAAAACGATTTGAAGTGACATACTATCATTGTCATCCGGGTTTATGGTGTCATTTGGGGAGAATTAAGATTGGCAAAAAGAGGACATGGCTGAGACGGTCATGTGTTTGCTACTGATTGGTCGAAATAGCCTAGCTCATGGAATAAAATAAAATAGGGAAAAGCCAAATCATATTAACACATGGTTCTAAATAGTAGTGCTACTTGCTGGTTTGTGTTCATACTACTATTCTGGACATTGATCCTAATGTCCTACGGCAGTAGTTCTTGTTGAAGCGCTGGCCTCAAATTTCGCCCTAACTAGATCTCTTCAAAAGTACATATCTTTTACCATTGCGGGATGTGATCAACGGACACGTGACTGCCAGGCAAGTATCTTACCAGCGCACACTGGACGCACCTGCATTGTCATATCTGAACAGACGAAAGGGTTCACAGCTGAGTGTAGTCCGGATACACTATGCAATACCATATGCACTATGCAATACACTATATGTAATACAGAGGTCAGCCATCAGTGCCTAAGGCAACGTCCAATTAGATCAGCAAATCCAACAGTGTCCACTCAGAGAGTTCTTGGTCGACCACATGCGGAAAGAGTCATGGTTTTCCCCACTTTTGAACAGCACCAAATTTGGCGTTATCTCAAGTATGGGCTGGCTTACAACCTAAACTATTGCTATAACGCCTGATCCAGCATGTCTGGGTCATCAAGCTACCTACCGTCAAGCCCATTGGACCAGCACTGACATCTGTGAGAGTCTTGAAACTTACCACCATGCTTGTAAGCCACGACGTCTGCGTAGCGGCTCATCCTTCGACCGAAGTGGGTACACGTAGGAATCAAACGGTTTGCTGGAATCACTGGAAGGTTGATTAAAAAAGTCAAACATTTGGTTGAACTACATCACAAATCTTTTTGATAGCTCAATCCTCTTTCCGTGTGTCATTTCAACATTGTTACCAGACTGTGGTTTTACCCCAAGACCTACCAAAGAGGTGTCCATTTAGAAGAGTTAGGAGTTGCAAAATGTCAAATGCCGTCAGGAAGTAAGCGGTGAATGTACTAGGCACTAGCCAAAGATGGTCGTTCCAGATCGATCGCTGCTGTAATGTTGCACGTGGTGGCAACCTTTGATTATAGTACGATATCATAACAAACTGGGGCGAGTATAGGGGGCTATTCTCGAGTCATCTTTCAATAAGACAACAATAATACTTACCAAAATCGTTGAACCAAACAGCACCGTCGCTCCTCCGGAATTTTGAAAAAATAAACAACAAAAGTAGTTAAGGAGAATGTTATCCAGAGCTGCCAAAATGTTTATCCAATTGTGAACAAATATGGCCTGCCAGTAAGATAGAATGTGATCCTGAGAAAGGAAAGCAGACAATGGAATCAGCCAGTACGTGACCCTCAGTTTGAGATGACAAAGTTCAAATTACACTTGTTTCTCCCATTCGCTCTTTGCTATTGAGAGACTCTCATCAGGGATCCAGTCCTGATCAGACTAAGCATGAATCAGTGGTATGACTTGTCTGAACAGGTCACTGGCTAATTCGGCACAGAAACATTGCCAAAAAACAATTCCACTCGTCAGTGGTCGTGAGATTGAGAAAGTAGTCATCTGAGACCGTTGACCACATGGTTATCTGTCCGATCTTTTTACGCCCATTAAATGAGTCCGAATGAAGAGAGATTTTCTTGATAGTATAAATTCGTTGTAAACTGTCCGATGATATCAACACACACGACTTGTTTATTGCAAGGTTGTATGAGGGTAATAGTCTTATCAGTACATTCGCCGTACTCACCCATGGCGTTGTGATATGCAAGCCTACTGTAGGAAATTGCTGTATGAAAAGGGTGCACTACAAGCATAACGGTGCATGCTACTAGTGAAGCATGCGAGTAGTATCCGGTCAACTGTCAAAGCGCCATCCCCGCGAGTGATGGGAGATTGATATGGAAATTATTGTAATGCTTTACGGTGTTTGTAATTACTTTCTAGTATTCAGGAACCGTCATAGGAAGGATATTCACTTTTCAAAAACTCTCTACAAACGTGGTTTTCACTCTGTTGTTTTATTCCTTGTAACCGTTTAGTTGGTGTTGGTCGATAAACAACTCCGCACTCGGAGAAACCTTTCCTTCCACCAATATACGAAACGTGTATTGGCCACCCGAAAACTAAGGAAAGTAAGCACAGGGGTGAAGATGCTTTCTGACAGAAGAGCTAGAGCAGTGACTTTAAAAACTGTGTGACAAGTGACCTCCGAGTTACGGGGCAGCCTTTTACGACAGTGAAAGTCCTGTTCATAAATTTACTCATTTAGCAAGATTGACAGGTTTGAGCAGTATGGACACAAATAATACTTGAGTATGGTTAATTAGGTTGCTTCATTTTGTCCATTCTCACGGAGTATTCGGACTTCCAGTACATGACGCCCCGCGGAGGTACTCGCTGGCTTTGTGACCGATTTTAATTACTTATGCTCTGAACTCGTGGAAATTCATGCTGAGGATAGGCGAAATGATGTGGGGGCGGCTCTGAACCAAGTGAAAAATTCTTAGATTCCCTATCCCTGAAGGACAGCGGTCCGGTATATGTATAAGTGAACTTTGGGTGCAGTTGGATTACAAATTAACCTGCGGCATTAAAAAGCCTGTTCACAAATCCTCAGTACATTCCAAACATTTCTTAGTTTCTGTCCGGAATGTGTACAAGACAGTATAAAGATAGGAAATTTATGGTGACTACTCATGGCTTTCGGCAGGACAGACTGACGTTGGGAAATCATTTTTGATCTGATAAAAAAATAAGGAGAGGTGAACAAAAGCTGCCGTCATCGGCAACCGGCCCAACATATTTAACATTCCGCTGAAGATTCATCTCACCCACTTATTGGACGTACACTATGTTCGGTTTGTTCTTTTCAGATCTTTTAAGCAACCAATCACCAAACCACCTGGACCGACAAGTTTCAACCTCACTTAGTACTGATGAAGCTCACTTTCTTCTAGTTGAGGATCGAAAATAAGTGCTAGCCCACCCACCCTGCACCACGCTTCTTGCACCCTGCACTCATTTGAAGAGCAATGTTTTACTTAGCGTGGGTCTCAGGAACCGTTGGTCATTATGTTGAACCCTCAAGTACAGAGAGTCCTTCAACCTTTGAATGGCCGTTTTCTAGAGGCATCTTGCCATCAGTCAACTCTGCTTTCCTTTGGGAAACAGCTAAATCCTGCTCCCTCTGGAATCGATTCCAGTGGGGTTTGGTAAAGGATTGTCCGCGAAGATATTTTGGGCCAGTTTGCCGCAGTGTATCTCATACTTGTTTCAACGTCCCTGCCATCAGCCTCACATCTTTCTCATCAGCGAATAATGCAAGTGCTTCACGAGCATGCACGGTTGATACTGTGAGCATCATGAGCATCTCGTGATCGCAAAGCAAGTAAATCAACGTGTGGTGCGTAAGTACATCAGTTCTGTATCATTTGAGCCGAATTCGATCAAAAATGATTGGAGAATGTTTTGCGGGGCGTTTCACTAATGCCTGATTCTAAGGAGCTGAATCAAAGCGGTGATAATAGAACATAAGCGGTACCTGACCAGAATTTTGCACCCCAAATAGAATAAGATTTTTATCATTGCGTATAGGCCAATCGCTCATGGATTAAATCACAACCTATGCTCAGGAAACCCGATGACACAATGACTCCTCTGCTGTACACCATGCTTTCTCCAATGAAGTCGGCAGTACATCAGAAGAATTGGAAGCACTCACTGGTCAGTTGGGTAGCCCCTGACGCCCTTCACTAATTTAAGAAACTGATTGGGAAGTCGGGACTCATCAGTCCGTTACAGCATACAATTGCTTGAAACCGCTGTTTAAATACGGGTTACAAAACTACCTCAAAGAAGTGAGAATCGACAGAAAATACGTGACGCAATGCGCCTCCAGCAGGAGCAGAAACCCTATTGAGGAAGGTTACTGAACCGTTTGTTCTCAAAATCATACATTGTGTTTGAAGTTTACATCCGGTATCATCTGAAACGTTAACATTAAATACTAAATAATTGTTCATCTGCAAAAATATTTTGGTTCCCGCCAGCCATCCGAAAAAAGCAAGAGGGCTGAGATGCTGCCAGATTATCCGAGCCTGTTTCACTGGTACGTGGTGTTTGGTTGAATCTTTGCAATTTTTTCTAAGTTGGGCACTCCAAATTTCATCTCCACAATCAACCGAGTTGAACTAGTTGGTTTACTTTTCCAGGAGTTCTGTGATGCCAAGTTGGTTAGCCTGGTCTTGTTCTGAACATAGGCAGGGCAGGTAATCTGGCTATTGACAATGTCTTCCCAAAAGTCTCAAAGAATGACATCATAATCAAACATTGATACTCTATTTTGGGCTGAATTGCACTAAAATATGAACCGCTACTAAATATGGACGCAGCTTACTAGACTTGGCAATAGTATATAGTATAGTATAGTGTAGTATAGTATAGTATAATATGGTATAGTATAGTATAATACAGTGTAGTATAGTATAATATGGTATAGTATAGTATAATATAGTGTAGTATAGCATATACTGGGATGTCGAAATGCTAATGATTGTGTAAAATATCATCTGGGTTTAGTATAGTATAGTATAGTATAGTATAGGATAGTATAGTATAGTATAGTATAGTATAGGATAGTATAGTATAGTATAGTATAGTATAGGATAGTATAGTATAGTATAGTATAGTGTAGTATAGCATATACTGGGATGTCGAAATGCTAATGATTGTGTAAAATATCATCTGGGTTGGCAATAAAATGCTTCAACTCTACGCATGTTTTCACAGACAGTCCCATGTGATTCGAAAACGATCTGAACAGCATCCGGGATCTCTGGGAGCGCTCAAAGATAATAAATGCAACTAACCTCAAACGGAAACATGACGATCGTTGTAAAACAGGCAAGCATCAGATATTGGAATATATGAGTGAAGAAGTGTGCGCCCCAGTAAGCCCAGTGCTTCATTCCGTACATGTGAAGTTGAGTGAGAATGCGGAGCTGAGTAAACCACAAAAGAAAGTAAAGTAACTCCACTATGAGCGTAGAGTGCAAATGAAACGATGTCTCACTTCAATGTTATTCAAATTAAAGAGAATCAAAGTAGAATTTTAATAGTTCGGGCGGGGGCGGTGCTTGCGGCCTCTGTTTAGAAAGTACAAACTCATCATCACAAGCAGCATCATCATTGTCAGCTGTAATAACCACCTACTTGTCATACATTGGTTGTAGCTGTCACAGTTCCGTTCACCGATGATTCGGGGAGGTGAGGTAGGTAGCTGCGCATTGGAGGCGGGAGCTGATACATTAGCGCGTAAATACAGCACTGTAGGTGGACTGTTATGTAATGGGATTGGGAAGGGAGCTATGCATTGAAGGCACTGTAGGCTGTTATGTAATGGGATTGGGAAGGGAGCTATGCATTGAAGGCAATAGCTTGGATGCATGAGCGCCATTGATGGAACGACCGACTCATGTCTGACAATGTCTCTAAACAGTGATATGGTCCGTCTCGGGGTCCCATTCCAGGAAGACGACAATGACCAGTGCAGCTGAGTTTGTTGGTAATGGCTTTTATACTTCGCTACCAAGTCACTGTTTGACCGCCTCTGGCTATCTTGCACCCTTATGCGAAAGGAACCCCTCGAGCCATTCGGTCAACTGGCATACGCAGCACATGGCCAAGTCAGTGCAAGCTATGTAGTGCGATCAGTTCATCTATCGAGTGTGAGTTATTTCCGCCGAATACCATTCGACGAACTTCAGCATTGCTGCTCCAGTGTTCTCACCTGACTCAGGCAATGCTCCGAAGATATCGACGGTCAGACACTGAAAGTCTTTTGACGTCCTCGGTGCACAGCGGCCAGGTTTCTGATCCATATAGTAATATGGAGCGCACCGCAGCATTATAAACTCGACCCTTGACAGAGAAGCTGACGTCACGCCTACGCCACAGGTGACGTAGGTTCGCAAAAGCTGCTCTGGCCTTCCCAATCCGGGTTCACAAAATTGCTGACTACAGCAATATTGATTTTCGACACGGGTCGTCGCTTGTCACGTGCTCACTTTAACGTTTTCCTGGTTTCTGATATCTAGCACCTACGTATTCTTTTCTGTTACTGCTGACAGGTTTATGGCTGGGATGTGTTATTGCACTGAGAACACACTTCGAACTCTTCGGAATTATCGGTAGAATTCTAAAACGTTGGAGGCCAACGTGCTGAGACGCCAACTGTCAACTTTCAGTGCACCTACGTAACACGTATCCTCAAGGTTGCACCTACAAACGTTTATACTCTTAAAGCACTCACCGGTATAGACGCCAAAAGCTCCCCTTCACCGTTGCATCTTCACTTTACAAAGAATACTTCGAACTCCAGAGTGATAAGGCTCAATTCGATGTCTCCGGATCACGCAAATAGTAATTTATTTATCTGGTCGTCACTTCTCTGCGCTTTAGCCTGGAGTCGTTGTGTTTCTTAAGCATGGTGGAAGCTGTCTGACTTATTCTCTCGGTGATATCCCTAGTTGCCCAAGGTGCATGTTTTCCAACCAGAATAAAGCTGGCAGATTGCGAACTGGTGCAGAGAATCCTGCATACACGATTCATCAAACTCAGGCTTTGGTAACAAGCGTACCAACCACTGGCAGCACTTCATCTGTTAACTCTACACGAGTTTACAATAGCGCACCCAAATTATCGCGAATTATCACATCCAAAGTATTTCCGTTAACTTTATTCATGCGTCCCGTGGTTTCCTAGAATTGGGTTCCCAATCACCAATCCTGAAACAGTGCAGGTAAGCGGTCCATTCTTTCGATTCATGTCACTGTTTTTCTGAGCCAACTAAGAACTAGAGCAGAGAAATGAAATGAAGTCTAGGCTAGCCGGTGTCCAATGTAAACCTCGCCTAACATGGGTAAGGTGGTGCAGCTAGGAGGTTGCGAATTCCCTCCATCCGGATGGGTTATGCGCCATATCCTGTGAAGTTCTAAGATGCGTGCAAGGAAAACCGCTGGGACTCCGCATAGGAAGTCACAAACATCCCTCAGCATTCAGCGTGACAGTAGCTACCGTCATTTTGAATTGTCACATCATAGACCCGAGAACCTTTTACCAACAAGAGCTCGGGTTGAGGTAATCAGGCTTCCACAACGTTTCAACCACCTTAAACTAATGGGCATTTTTCATTGCTACAATGATACCGATTCATTGCAAAATACTCGCTTAGGCAAAGGAGTTTTGCGGAAAGCCCGTAGCCTATCAAATCCTCCTATGATCAAACTATTATTCAAGAACTATGTACTCTGAACTACTTTGAATTGAAAAGGATAGTTTTTCAACCATGAAGTAAGACTACCCTGGTTGTTTCCGTGCATAAACGTAACTCCAGCCCCTGTAGACCTTTTTTCGAGTTACTCAATGACGCATGTTGGCAAAGGTTGTTCGTGTCTTGATAATGGATACATTGACTTCATTCTTCACGGTACAATCGTGGCTTGAACAGTCATCAAAACATATGTAATTCAATTTCCTCTTCTTGATGTCTCAAAGGAATAGGTAGGAAACTGAATGTTCGGGAGCAAGGCCATGCAATTAGGAAGGGTGTAACGCATGCAAGATCAAGAGACCACATCTGAAGTTCTATTCACATTAGACCATAACAAAAGTGTCTTGTCAGCACAGTCTAGTTCCGAGCTCTTAAATATAACTCCGATAACAAAATTAATTACTTCATGAAGTGCGCATTCTATGATTGTTTGTTTTATAAGACCGAACAAAAAAAGGAAGGGATAGTCACTTATTTTGGCAGATAGTTATAAATTCTTGCACTAACATAGATATGCGTATAGAAAGCAAAGATCATAATAACAAACTTTAAAGGTTGGTAACTTGAACCGAAACTCTTCAGCAGTCCACGGCTCCGCCCATCTTGCAGCTCGTCAATTTGGCACAGTCCCCGAATTCCCGTCAACCTTATGTTCCAAAAAACTATCTTGTACGAAATCCATTCATTTATACATCAGATAAATCGATTTTACTGGAAGAATCTGTCAAATTCCAGCTTAATTTCTCGTTCACAATATTATTTAACTGCATAAGCCGCACAATATTCTGCGATACCCTGAATATCGTATCAACTGAAACATGAGGCGACTGTTGCACAGCACATTCAGTTATCACTAACAAGAGTTTAGGCCGGGATTTGTTTGAGTCTCTCGCGGAAGCCAGTTTGTTGTGCCGCTGAGGCATTCATCCTTGTTAAGTTTCACATGTGTATAATAATCACTTTTGGTGAAGGCATTTTAGAAGTCAAGGTGAGGTGTGTGGAGATGTTCCGGCACTCAATATTATTTGAAAAGGTTGTTAATTTCCAAACTGCAATTTGCATAACTTTGCAAACTGTAGGTTTTCATATTTTACTGACGGGGGTCAGCGTATTTAAGCTGCCACCACCTGACAATATTCATTCCCTCATGGAGATGGCTGCAATCAGTATCCAATAAGATGCATAATCAAGCATAAAACTTGCCTCTTTCTCCCGAACGATATCCCCGGCGATAAGTGGATTAAGAATGCAGTTGGCGACGCTACATATAATGAGATAAATGCAAGCGGTTCCCAGTTTCAGTTGCGGATGGGTTTCAGGCCATCTTGATTCCCATGAAGTCATATCACCAACCCAAGGAATAGTTGGATCATCTGTTCGAAGCTTTGGTAAATAGAAAGTAGACATTGTGCAGTTTCGTCATTCTAGGATAATTAGACAGATCTTCAGCTTGGTGGGTTTAAGGTCGCTCTACACTGGTCAGTTACAAGTCACCCATTTGGGGAAAAAGACTGTTTGCTGGACGAGAACAGGAAATCTGATACAAAGTCGGAGCACGGAGCTTAAGAACCTGCAAATCAAAAGCTGTATAATGATTGTGTATGCTGTCCGTCAAAACAGAAGTGTAGGCGATGCGAATAGGTTCCAGTGTCAGATGGGTTAATCAGGTCAGAATGCGCAAGTTGGTATGCAAACAACCTGAGGGCCTACTGTAAATCGTTGTAGGGCAGTAGTAGTCTTACCGATGGAAACAAAACATGTGGAGACTGTTGTGGACAAAGCACTGTCTATCAAAGGCCATGTGGGATTAGGAGTAGTAGAATGGCAAACACTCGGTGGTTCTTCCTTGACTGTGCTCGATTTTTTAGTTTGACGTGAGTGTAACAGGGCTGAACATTTTCCAACTTGGATGGCAACTGACGATATTCTCAAAAGTTGGTAGAAGAATATGGAAAATAAAAATCAGGCAGTTTTAGCAGAATGGGAAAGTTCGATATAACCATCTTTCTCGTTTTCGAAAGTAACCCAGATGGCAATATGGACCAAATTGTTTTCCCACCTGTTTGCTTTGGACTTATTCTCTATATCATCCCTCCGTGCGATGATAATTGATGTGTAAAGCATAGAAAGAGGGCATCTTTTCTACTGCACGGGGATCGACGTATGGCGAAACAAATACACACATTCACAGCGTGAATGTAAACTGTAAACAGAGTAGTACCTTAGTAGTAAATGCAAGCACACACGGTGCAAGCTAATGGACGGAGTCTTCGGAGGGCGTTCGAACCCGTAAACTCTTACTCATTGCATGATCACCCTATCAACTGAACTAATGCGGACCCTTTCTTACGTCACATATTTACATTTAAATAAATAGGACGTTGTGCAGCTGCAACAATGCTTCAGTGCCAAGCTGCTCCGCAACATAAAGAATGCACGAGAGCTGACGTACTGCCAGGCTTATCAAGCCTAGACAACAGCAGTTGAGATGGCATAGTTGGGTTCAAACCACGAACCTTTTGGTTGGTGAGTTCGTGCCTTAATCACTGAGCTATCTTGAGCTCTTGCACTTGAGCTTACAGTGATTCACCACATCCCTGACTAATGGATTAACAGTTGGCGTCTGCTACTGCCCAGCCGATTTACTTGATGGGTCAGAAGTTGCCATCGTCCAGGTTGACCAGCCTCTTATTAAGCTCCATTGTTGCCCAGTCTTTTCGTTTTGAACGTTCTAATACTCCTCAGTATAAATAAGCAACCAGTCAGATTGCTTCGTTAAAACGTCCGTAGTTTGGGCACAGTCATTAAGCTTCTTTTATGGTATTTCAAATGCAACCTGGCTTAGGCCGGTATAGTTAGAAATAACTTCGGTTTTCTAAGCTCATGAAGAAGCGAGTGTCGCTATTGGTGTGTCATCAATTTAGTTGATGCTCGCCGGTCCTTTCAACCTGAAACTCTTTGATGTGCCACAGCTTAAATCATCTTGTGCGTCAACCGAATGAGATCAGTCTTATTTCAGGGTGATTGCGCGCAAAATTCCGTACTGCATGACTCATCTAAAGATTCGTTTTGAAGAAGAAACCAGCGCAGCGTTTTGACACCTTCTCCACACTTGGAACTGTGCACATACCAGATAAAATGCTTCAGAAAAGTTTTGGCGTGGCCATGTTGATTGTTCGTTCAAAAAAAACTGCACTATCTAATGCATCCGATTCCAATGAGTGACATGAACGAATCCGAGTGACATCTGAGTGGACATCAATCAGTAAAGCTACCTACGTGAAATACTCATCGATACTTGGCAAATTCTGCACAGTTGATCGATAAAGCGCACACAAAGTAAAGCGAATTACTTGCCTCCACCTGTCTCAGCAGTCAGAGCCTGACAACGACGTTTTCGGTCTTGGAAAAGTAGAAAGCAAAGCATCAACTTACAAGTCCTTGTTGCTTGAGGTTCCTCGCATGCAGACAGTTCCACAGAGCAAAATGTTGCAGGATAATCTGCTGTGTCAGATCGTGATCCTGTCGTCCAAGGATCAAAGTGATATTGATTGAATTGTTGTGCTGAATTGCGAAAGGACAAGAAGTCACACGATGCGGCGATGTCAAGCGGTCATTGAAGCGACTCCAATTATATTTCTACATACGATCCTCTGATTTGCAGGTTAGATGATTCACCTAGTTTCACGTTTGCTTACGATGCACAAGGTATGTGAAATATCAATAAAGCCCTTCAAAATGGAGGCCACTTAGTTGTGGTATAAAATTCCCTACCCCATTGACAATCCAACGAGTACAGGCTAGGCCAAAAGCGATACTGCAGGATCGACCAAAAAACAGTACTGAAGACTATAAAGACCGCAACTACTATCGACCGTAATTCCGTTACACTACATAGTCAGGTATCCTACCAACCATTACTAATTGCTTGATGTGCCCTATCAAGCCTTGTCACTCCATCTTTTTGTACCATGTTTTTACTGCTTGATCGAGTATGTGCATACCTTCTACATTTGCTTAGTCTTGAACGCTGAAACTTAGTTTATCTGGGTTTATAAAGCCATTTGTAACTTCGATTTGGGATTGATCCAATCGTTGGCTGGTCTTTGCGTCAAGCTTGACAGTAAAATCAAACAAGCTTCTAGTATAACACTTGAACATGATAGCTTCTTTTTACGATCGCTATTTCGTTTTCTAAGAGATTTGGAAATTTGTAGCGGATATTTCGTTCTGTAACTGAGGCTAATCTGTGCTAAAAAAATTGAGGAGCACTGTACAACTGTTTCATCCCTATTTGGAACCATCAGCATAACGCACCTCTTAAATGTCAAGGAAGATTCGAGCTCGAAGCCTCCCGACCAACGGTTGAAGGCTAAAATGTTCCGCTTCGTGTGTCTGGTGAGTAGTTGGATTAACTTGGACAGAAGAAGGTAGCCAGTGATTGGCCGGGCCCTAACAGCTTAGTAATTCTGAAGACTTATCCAACACCAATTTACTGAGTAGCAAGAAGCAGAATACGCATTTCATGTGATGATAGAAAAACGGTTAGCTGAGCCGAATGTCGCACGAGACTAATCTAATCACACTGAATGCTACCTAGTGGTTCCTCATGTTCCAACGCAATGTTTCGAAATGAAAGGCAGAAAACCTGATAGAGCTGAAGCAAGGCAGTGAAAAGTTTACTCACCCACGCAGCAATGTCAACGCGAGTGGATCCGAAACGACTGTAATTGTAAAGAGGATGTATCGCATCCTCACTGTATCCAGTCGGTGACAACTCGCGCCAGAATGGTAGTTTCACAAAGTAGGGTTCTTTTGGTCCAAGTTGATTTCGTAGGCATACGAGGTCCTCGTCAAATAGAGTCTGATCTACCACTGTCGACCAGTTACCTTCGGAATCTTTGTATGTAGAGTAACAGATTTTGGGTGAAATAAACCATCCTGATACATCTGTATCTAACTCAGGCGTAAGATGAACTCAATCCATCACTATACGTTCTGGTGTAGCCGCACTATGAAATAACCATTTTCTCGACTTGGCTCAGAGTCCGAGGGCCGATTAAGTTTGGCAAGCAGTTGACCACTCAAGATTGTACTACTGTGTGCCAAACCTACTCATGAACATGTTTCAAGGTGGTTATGGTTCTCAATCCCATTACTCTGAGTACCATTTCAAGGTTTTTTGAGAGAGAAAAAGTGTTTATCGAGTTGACGAAAAGTTTTCTTCAACACTGTATGGTGGGGTGTATCTTTTGATTGATAACCTCTAAGGGGTAATCTGTAAGAGGGTGACTTACCTGCTGATATATTTTTCAGACTGCTGTGGCTAATCCAAAAAAATTCGCCATTTGTGTTCATGATTGTCCCTGGTTGTCCTGGTGCGGATTTATGGACCAGTCGATCCCCAGCTCAAGGAAGTGGCATCGTTGCCCGCTGGTCCCATGTTGGCCAAACTAGCATTTTCTGGTAAACCAGTAAATGTGAAGTGCTATCAACTGGCACGATGCTTCTTGTGAACGCGTTTTTTACACCGGCATTACTCACAGAGCCATTTTGTTTTAAAACTAATAGGGCGGCTTCACACACTGTCGAAAGCAGGATTAAGGTGGATCAAACATCCGTCTTCACTTCTCGTCGAGAACAAACGTTGCCCAAATTCTTCAGTTACAAAGTGACTGGAATATAAGTGTTGCATGCTGTTCGACAAGTCAGGATCCAGTTGCTTTTGCTCGGCAATTGAATCGGGTTAAGATATCGTACGACCGTCAATCTGCTATTTTTGTTCCAAGTTGATGGTACCATCCTGATAGATTTACAATGTCCTGCCATACAATTGATGCAGGTTTCCATCGTTCGTTACCCCCAACGACTGGTGCTCACAATAACTGCCAACCCCCTTAGAATGTACTGTCTGCACTGGTACATTTTGCATTAGTCATACGAACAAATTGGATTATTTTCAGAATGACATTCGTACCGCTGCAGAAAGTGCTATTTTCACTGATTGTTCCTAGGTTTGAAACTCGGTGATCTTGTGATGTCAATCAGTAGTCATCTTTTTATTTAAGGACTCAAGCCATTTTGGTAAGCCCCATCACTGTCTGTATTGTGAGCTGCCGGTGCTAACACAGTCCGCTTCATAAAAGAAGTGACAATGCTGATCCTCTGTACAGTGAGGTGGGCAGTGTGATTTCAAACATTTCATCAGAGTCGAGGCGTAATCAGCATGCAAGATGTGCTACCGAAAGTCCATTTCATTTAAGCCATTTTCTTTACCATTGCCTTATGGGTCACCCTTCTCAAAAGTTCGTCAGCCTCTCCTGACTGTTCACTCACCAGCAATGGCTCCCCTACCATGTCCATACTCCGGTTGTTCGTTTGTCCCTGTTTGATCTGATCGTCTCTGTTGTCTGAGTATAGGTCAACAATCTGCTGTACATTCACAATTGCTTCATGCTCCTACCAAAACAAGAGTCGTTTCCGTGGCTGGAAGGCTGTTTTCTTCCAACCGATCAACACCACCATTACAATGGGAAATTAACCCAATGAAATAGAATAACTGTTCAGTCGTAACATTCCTTCCGTACGTAGCTGCCGGGTCATTTGAAGGAAGGATGAGGGTTGACTGGCTGATCAAACCAGGACAGCACCAGTCGTGCTACAGGGCCTGGGTGCAGACCACCACCTTTCTAGTCAGTAAGTTCGCACCTTATGCACTAACAGGGTATGTGGTCGCTTTCTATCACAGATTCTGTTCTACTGTCGACAAAATAGAACCCTTGACTACAGTAAAAAATGTTACACGAACTTTGCCGAGAAATGCGTACAATGCTTGATTATTATCCGCTGGAGTTTGATGACTATAAAAGGCAAGAAACAAGACTGTAGTCATTTGAACCCTCACACGCTTTAGCACATTATTTCTGGTGTGTAGGTCTGTGATTCAGTCACAGTTCACATGATCTGAACTTTAGACGGGAATTAGAGGTTGAAAAATCACGGCGAGAAAAATATAATTATCGCAAAAAACGACCCAAAAGTACGATTTTTATTTTTTAACCATTTACTGGATGGTTTTGGACCTGCAAATGAGAAAGCTTTTAAAAAATAACCCTTTTTTTCAAATTATCCGTTATTTCCTTTCTCTTGTCTCCTTAATGTACAAGCATGATTGTTGCGAATGTAAGTGTTTCGAACAGTTCCGCACCAATTATGTCCAAATTGGACTAACGCTAGGGTGGTCGTACGGAACTGATGAATTTTATTAGGACTGATGTGACACTGACCGATCTGCTCGGAAGCCAATCAAATTTGAGGAAGTAGACCAAGACCAACCCAGATAGCAAACGCACCCATCAGAATAAATTTCAAAACTCCCCGAAGGTAGGTATATAACGAACCAATGGAATGCGATAGATGCGGAGCACAAAATCACCTGGGTAGCATTTGTTGGGCCCTAGCGTCCGACTAGCCAACCACATTGAAAGATATTATATGATCTTCGAGAACTAAGTAAACACCAGCAGATAAGTAGGAGGCATCCACCTAACAGCTCGATGGTGGTGCCTCGCAGTTCAACGGCCAAGCGCGGTGACGAGATTTACAGCGACCAGTTCGTCGTATTTTTATGACCAGGTTTACAGAATTGCCTAAATTCACTGTCTGGGACTGACAGCTACCGTGCGGATGCATCGTAGTACTGTCATTTCCGGGATGGTAACTAAGATAACTCAACATTTAACGCGAAATTTTCTGGTAGGAGCCACCTTCAACTAGAACATTTACTCACTCTAGATGTGTGTTTATTTACCTGTTGACTCGTGCACAAAAGTACCTGCCACACACGGTTTTGTCCACCGGTTTTTTTGTTGTGCTTCGCCTGATGGAATGGCAAGTTTTTCCGACGTGTTAATGTGGGGGATTTTCAGATAATTTGAGTAACACACCTGTATCCGTGTACCAATAATCAGAGTTCCAGCATTCCATACTCCCTGTGATCTACATCAGCAAACAGACAATTGGATGGAGGTCTTATTTTGACTACCTAGAAAGGTTCTGACTAACCGACATCACCACAATCATCCAAACAGTTTCAAACTATTGAAACTTACTAACAGGATAGGCAATCGATATATGTTGCCTGGTGTCGGTTATATTCGTTCGTGTGATGTAGTCGTAGTGTTCCATTTCAACCGTCCTTGGAAAGTTGGTCGTCTCTACGTAGTAGACTATGGACGACACACCAACCATGATCATCGGGAGAAACGAACGCAGTAAGATATATATTGGAGTTGGTAACATCAACAGACCAAGTAGGACACGAATCAGTAGACCAAACTGTCGGAGACCAACCGCAACCTCTGACCTCGGGCTGGGCGGGAGTAGGGGAAAGTCGACTACAGGTTCTCTTGGTGGATGCTTCTCCTGAACTGACCGGATACTCAGGGGACGAGTGAGTTGTTTAAGGCGTTCTCCAACCGCGTAAGACGTCTTATGTTGTCTCGGTTTCTCATCCGGTTTAGCCAACAGTGTTTCGTCATCTTGATCCAGTGGTTCAGCTCCTGTGTGAGAAAGCCGGAGGATTTTTGTCAAGGTCAGTTATTAGTAGATGGGCCTGGCAAGGCCTGGAGAAAACAAAAGAAAATATGGAGTACCCGAGAGTTGAGTTTGTATGCAAGGTAGGGCAACCCAACCATTTTCCAGTTCACCTAAAGTTCAACAAGTGAGGCAAACTATTTGGTAAGATAGAGTGGGTATTTGATTACTTCACTTACTATGCCCGTTCGTGTAACGGTCTGCATTTGAGGGTTGACCAAATCACCAGTATGGTCTGTATTTCAAGTGTACAATGAGCCAACTCACACACATCCTGACTGGATAGTTTTCTGGTCTCACATTTCACCAACCTAGAAACTCGAATCTCTCAATCCACCTTCTATTGATTAAGTCGAAATGTACATTTTGTGCCAATAGTTTGCCCTGTCTGATGTCTAATTAGCAGGAATATGCCAATCTTATATGGGTTTCATTCGACCACAATGAAACAGCCGGATCCTTGATCGATATGCCGAATCGCCACTTCTATCAGGAAGTTCAAAGGTTACTTTCTGTGTGCTTCCATGCATCTAATGACGAAGAAGCCCTTCGTTTGTCTACGCTTTCATAAGTTGGGAATGTTTGTATAGTTCGTGATTTTCAGACCTATAGCCAAATAAGACTTCAAATGGAATAGCTTGTCGATCACTTGTAGGGTACCTTAGGTCTACGCAGTATCTCGCTTTCTGATCTGGTTGACGGTCCGTCTGTTGTCCGTTTAGATGAGCGAGGTTGAAAGTGACTGAAAGGTGTTTTATAGCCGTAACGTAGTTCTCAGTTCTTCAGTCCACAAGTGATACTCCTTCAGCCAGTTTAGCATAAACGGCCTGTCTGTCACTAGTTGGACAAAAAGAGTGACTGGACACTCAAATCAGTTGCCCAAGAATAGGCGTGAAACGGGAGTAACATTTTTTTACCTCCACCTGGGGGACTATGAATGGATGAATTCAATTAACAAAACCTTGGAAACAACTTGTCCCATGAGTGGCGGGAATATAACCGCTGATGATGTATGTGATGCCTCAATGAGAATGAGGTGGCAAGGCCACAATTTGCAGACCCTCCGACCAGTTTGATTGATAACCTATCCGGTCACACGAACAATCCCACTAAAGTAACCTAAAGCATGCGTCTCACTTCAACACAGACGAACGAGCACAAATTCAAATGAGTCAGAATGAGATAAAAGGATGCTTACCAAGCTTGAGAAATATATCTTCCAAGCTAGTAACTGTGAAACCAAAGCTCGCGACGCTGCACTGAGTCAGTTCATTCTGACCTTCATCGGAGAACATTAGTAGCATTAGGGGATTCATAGCATTTGGTTGAATAAAAAACGTCAGTTGTTCCGTGAATTCACGGACGAAGGAAACACCGGAGATGCGGTCGCAGAGAAATCGCTTCAGGCGAGAAGAGTTGTCCCATTTATTCGTTAGTGTTACACTAAAAAAGTGGAAAATGAAATTTTGATGTGACTCTTTGGCCCTTCTGATGTGAATACATGAAGAAATCATACCTGCACCTTTCTACCCTCTTTCAGACAGTCCGGATAGAAACTGACTACAGTCAGCAGCCATATCTTGGGCAGGAGATCACGTGGGCCCTATTCAGAAAGGGCATTTACATCGACAGTACCGAGGATTTTCGTGATCACTTTCACATCCTTCTACCAAGTCAAAGATTAGTGACTTCTCTACTTGTGCCATTCTGAATTGGGAACAGAAAGCAGCACTCGTTTTGGTAAAAAAAATAAAAGATTTAGCACGCATGATACATGAACAAAACACGGTAGCTTTGGGTGCTGAACACATTCTTCTTCACACGATCGAACGCTCTTTTCTAATTGTCTCGTTGTGGCTTTGTATTCCCAACTACCGTCTACCCTAGTGATTTTGGTGAAAGGTTCGTGGGGAACATGCTTTGACATGTCACACAAAGTACCGTGGGACCTTCGCACCCTCCTGCCTGGGGAGAACATGATCATGCTGGCAGATGATTGGAAACATTGCAGAACGTGGTATGCAAGTGATTCTAGTGCCGCGCATGCTGTCATTTTCTAGCCGAACTGCCTATTTAAAGTTCTTCTGTCGCTAGGCTTATGTCGGACCAGGTTCACCAAAAATGCCGGATCGATCCTACTGAGAGCACCTTAGTTTGACATGACACTCAGGTAGGTCTATTTTAGTGTTGTAGTTAGTTTATTCCTTGATAAAATAGGGCTTGAATGAAATCATTTTCCTCTCCACTCTTTACTAAGACTTTGTTCTTTTTTGGTTGTGTGATTTTTAAGCACCAGCATGCAATGCTAGCATGCCAATGATGATGATGATGATTGATGATGATGATGATGATGATGATGATGATGATGATGATGATGATGATGATGATGATGATGATGATGATGATGATGATGATGATGATGATGATGATGATGATGATGATGATGATGACAGTAATGGACAATTTGGTGCCAACCTATGCGGCTGTGGTTCTGGGACAACAGCTATCCATTACCTGAAGACGTCTAGAGGTTACATGGATAGAGCAGAGATTTGGATGAATCGTACAACGCTACTCCCTCCAGGAAATCCCATTACGAAGACAAAAGTGACCATGGGCAACTGTCATTTGGACTGTTCAAGAAATTTTCTTTCTTTCAAATGGAATATTCTTAGCAGTGCTAAACGTGAAAGTAGAAGCTATGGAACTTTGAGAGATGGCATTCCTGAATGTTTGTTGCGTTTGAAAGCGCTTTTAGTAAGTAGTCGCCTTCTTGGACTGATCTGCTTGCTTTACCGTGCTTTTTATCTTATATGGGGAGAAGAGCTGGCTGTAACAGTATGGTAGAACGCAGTAACTCAGAGACTGGGGATCATAGCAACGCCTGCTGTCATTAAGCCGGTCACTTTCAACTGTTCCTTAAGAATGGCAGTCTGTTGCTACTACCAGTGGATGGAAGAAGGACTTCGCTGCGGATTTACCTACTCGGAAATGCCAACTGACCGGTTACAGACCATTGAACAAGGAAGCGAAACTCTAATCTGCATCTTAGTTCCAAAAACTGGACACAGATCTTCTCCCGAACGAGTTTTCTTAGAGATTAGTTGCCTCCACTCATTCATCGGTCAAATCTAAGCAAATGTTACAAAGTGGCCCCACGAATTCCGCAACAGAATTCCTTTTATCCATCGACGCAAACCGAAATTCTACAAACAACACATACTACTCGCGTGCCTCCCGATCAGTAGTATCACCGTTACACCAGTATTGCAATGCAAATATGTGTGACAACCCTACAAGCAAAAATCAGAATTTGTCATCATCGCCGGTGTCGCAATTGCAGTTGCGCATTTTGAAGATGAGCAATATGTTTGAATTAGAGATTTTCTGGACTAGACTGGTCGGTGGACGAAATCGTTGAGGGACTGAACAAGCAAGTGGTCGATGCCGTGGTGGTCAGTCTGATCCCTCAAGTAGACGTCAGATGATGAGGCTGACAAGCCGTTTTAGACCCACGACACCTCGCCACGTGGAAAGTTTTACAACTCAGACTTCCCCTCATCATTGGAAGCATCATACATGAGATACTTCCTGTTTTTCAAAAGTAATTGGTTCGCTTCAATGAACAACGTCCCATCACTGCTGGATTCGGATAATCCGATAAGGTATAGAGGACTGCTGCTGCTTACCAATAAGTTCTGGAACGGGTACACTTAGAAAATTCTAGACTAGCACTATTGATGGCCAGGGCGAAGGGACATATGTGACAAGGAGCAGTCTGAAAATCTAATTACCTGGTATCACCTGCGCCCTGCAACTCCTCATGTCAAATTGAGAACGAAGTAATTTAATGACTCACTTCAGCATATAACCGGGATTGTAATTCTCCTTCAGAAATCTCGAGGTGCCATAGCAAACCAGTCGACCACTAATCATAATCGCCTTCCTATCTGGTGAATAGAGGGGAGAAAAAACAGTGGATCTTTGTTGTCACTGTTGTTGCTGTCTTGTTTTCTGGCTAGCAGAGCTACAGCCTTAGGGCTGACCAAAGTGTAACGAACTAAGTGTCTCTAGATAGGTAAGAATACTGGAAGTCGTGGACTAACCCCCAAACGACAGCCATTTTTATGAGTGATATATCCAACCCGGCCGTAGTCAAGCGACGCCGTTGGATCTAAACTGGCAGTCAAATGGGTCACAGTAAATGATATGAAATGACTCCCCCAGGTTGAGTGCGTGCCCGGTGTCAATTAGGTGGGACGCGGTTGAGCTTCTGGCTGAACTGTTGTGTCTAATGGTATTCCGACAAGAGAGGTGCTCATGTATTTTCCTATAAAGTTGCCGTGTCGTACGCCAAATGTACTCCACACAAAGGGTTTGTTGTGAAATAAGACCGCAGAGTTCCAGCCGGAAACGTGCGTTGTAGGGATCTTGGTTGTAAACCAAGACCGCATAGTTCCAGCCGGAAATGTGCGTTGTAGGGATTGATTTGAGCGGTGATCGACTACGCCAGCCAACAGATCACCTTTATACGGTAAACTCAATGTTTGCTTCTTTTCAGTGGTCGTGATAGGCGGTTGGGCAGGATGACCTGACATCGTCGCCTATAAATCTCTCCGAATGACCATTCGCTCGGGGCACGTTAGGAATGTGCTGCAGTTCAGAGTCCGGTGTATCGACAGAGCGAGAAGTCTCGCTTGGTTGGTTAAAGTGCAAAGCAGGGTTCGTTTCTGCCTCAGTGGCACAAAACCAAGGAAGTGTGTGTAGTCACATCCACATGGGCTTTCTGTAAGTGAGACTCTGAATATAACTCATGGAATGCTTGATTAGCTTAAGGTTTAGGAAACGAACAAAACATTCTGATAAGAAAATGTGTGATATGAACAAAACCCTGGGCGAAAGAAAGGGTTGAACAGCGTAGAACCGTCTAACAATCATGTTGGTATGTTTTTTATATCATCTAGCCATGGAAAGGTTAAAGCGCGGTGTAAAGGCTCACATCATCAACCTATGTTTTAGTGATATTCTCAGCCGCAGTGTTCCACAAACGACTTTCTTGTTTCAGTCACATCAGTGGAATTTCACAAGGATCATGACTGCTTTCATTGTCTTCTAGAAGCGCTGGAACACAAGCCAGATGTGGTCAATCCTGAATAGCAGTCCAGCACGAGTTTCGGCATAACGGCAAGAATAACCGTTAAACTACTCTTCAGAGCTCCACAAGAATCATCGGTGAATCACTCATATCCCTGTCTGTCAAAATCCGATGTGTGACCTCCTTCCATAAAGCTATCCTGTGCTGTAGGCTTTAGACAGTTTTTTCAGTCGCATATATGTTTTCATTAGTGCTGAACGCAGTAAAATCCAGAGAAATTAGACTTTATACTGCGGGTGGCAAGTCATTAGTGTGATGCATCTCTAGCCACATGGGATGAAGTACTGCTCACTCTGCAGTCCAACATTTTACATCAGGTGAAACATAGGTGCCCCATAGATTCCTGACTTTCCTTAAGGTGCCGTACGCCAACTCCCGCGGACGCGTGAAGGTCTAAGGCAAGTTCTCGTATGAGTCCAGTACACCAAGAGGTGTCAGGCAGGACTGTCCTCTTTCGCCTTTCCCCTTCAACTTCATCACCACCATGATTATGGTAGACTCATTAGCAGTCTTTATTGCCTGCTGGATCGAAGCCCTCTCAAGACATTCGCTCACATATATCGAGTACGCTTACAACATGGCTCTTCTTGGGTCTGACGTCCTCATAAGTCAGATAGCACTCAATAATCTGAATAATACTGCTTCACGGTTTGGCGTGCGCCTCACAGGTCTACAGGTCTCCCGCAAGACTCACTGTACCAGCACACTCTAGGCGCATACAGCAACAATACATACCACTTTTCCCCAGCTAAGTTCTGTACACAATAAGGACTTGTGTTTAAAAGCGTGCTCCGTATGCTCGTCAATTGACTTCATTAAAAACTCCTTTTCGAACAACTACGCAAAGGGTGGAAACGAGCCAGGGACAGCCAAACAACGACTTGGCAGCGAAGCGTGAAAGACATAACCAGAAAACCCAGCTGTGCTGGTCATTATCACCCCTTAGATGGTGACCTCGAGACGGGACACATCAATGGCTCGAAACATTGTCAGACATGGCCCAGTCGTACCCTAAATAGGGCTCATGCCTACAAGCTATTGCCTTCAATGCGTAGTTGTCATTTCAATCTCCTCAATGAAAAAACCCCTGTATTTCTATCAGGTACCGCCCCCACTGTGTAGCTATCCACCACATCCCCCCGGGGCATCGGCGGAAGAACCGGTTGCAGCTATAACCATTATACGGCAAGTGTGTGATTTTTACAACTGATGATGTTGAATAATTTGTCAATTAACGACTTCCCAGAGAAGTTTGTGTGTAAGTGGACCCCTTTCTCTTGGTATGCTAGGATGACCGGTTACAAATGGGACTGAGAGATTATAGGACAACGGACAAGCATTACGTTCACTAGCTGGAATATCAGATAAGTTGTGAACGGAAAATCGACCAACCTGCCAATACATCGGCTTCATCCATGTAGTGAGTGATCAAGACAATTACGCGATTGGGTCGGTAATTTCTCAGTACCTTCCAGATACATCGTCGTGAGAAGGGATCGACACCGGACGTCGGCTCATCCAACATAATCAGTCGCGGGGAGCCCAGCAAAGCCATGGCTACTGACAGCTTTCGCTTGTCTCCTCCTGGAAGCAAATTTGTGGCCGTATGCGTGTACGAGTCCAGCTCAAGCTGGGTGAAAAGTTTCATCGTCTACACAAAACGTAAAATTAAACCGATTAGAGTGCATCGACTTATGACGTGGCCAGCTCATTTAAAAGCTTTTCAAGGCTCTTTAGAGGAGCAGAGGTCTCGGAGGTATGAAATCCAATCCGCTTTAAAAGGTAGTGGCTATTCAAATATAAGTTTCATTAACTGCAGTTACCCTGAATATACAGTAGTCTCCTCAAATAAACGACATTAGCCAGGCCTGGCTGAAGTATTTGTCTTGGGAGGTAACACGCTGTCCCTCTGACAGCAGCTGTGAACATTGGCTGGATTTTGCGGCTTTCCTTTTGAAACTTTAGCCCTAGGCCAACGTTCTCCACTGCTTTGTCTGGATGAGCTTCCTTGTAGGTTTCGGTACGGGTGTATTTTAGTTGCTCCTTAGCTTGATTGGTTGATCACGGACCGGAAGGTTCGTGGTCCGAACACGACTTCTGCACCTCGACTTCTCCTGTCTAGGCTTGGGCAACCTGGTAGTATCCCAGCCTTCGTGCCCCTTTCCGCTGGCACGGAAACTGGGTACCGAAAGGCTGCTACAGCTAAACTATTTATTTTATATTTTATATATAAATATATGTGGAGATTCGACCCTAAGGTCCGTATACTCCATGACCACCGAGGTTTCCATTCATACAGGCAAAATTCTTGCAAAAACCAAGGGCCAGATATAGTTCAGAACTCAGCTGCTGTACGTAGAAGCATTGGAAGCATCCTTATCTTATTCCTTAGTCCTCAGACTAGGCCGACCAGCCATAACCAGGTGAGTTCAAATGGGTCTCGTCAAACAACCCTATTATCTACTGTCTGTAAGACCAGAAGATTCACATCCTAGACATCCAGAAACTAACCTATGATCAAAACTCCAGCTAAACATGGAAAAATATTGTTTAAGGAGAAGCATCCCTTGGCGATTAAAAGCTCAGAACCTGGAACATTAGAGCCTCACTGGACAAGGAGAATGACGATAGGTCCGAACGGCTGACAACACTTGTTGCTAAGGCATCCAAACCATATGGTATCGAAAGTGGGTTGAGCGAGACAAAGCTGACAGAACTGACAGAACTATTTGAGGCTGGAGCTTGGTGTGCTTTCTGGATAGACGTTTCAAAACATAGTCAATAGGGGTGTGGGGGTGGACTGGACGTATCTAGAAGCTGGCCTAAAAGAATCGTCGGTAGACTAAAGTCTATCTTTTGAAGAATGACAGCAGTTCGAAGTAAACTCGCAGGAAGACGCTCTTGTAGGTTTCTGCGCAACTTTGCGCCCACCGCGAGTCCATCCGAAGAGGAAGAAAAAATTTTACACTCACTCATCGCAATTCATCCAGTCAGTACCCCACAGAGACTATGCTATCTTGATGCATGGTTTTAATGCCGCAAATGATTAGAATTAGAAAACTTGGAAGAATTGACCACCAGTAATCAGTTTTGTCAGATTTCACACAGTGCACAATCTGCTCGACCTCTTTCCTCTGGAACGTTTTAAGCTTTACCTGTGAAGTTGAAAATGCGGGCATTACCCTTAACCTTCTTGGCTATTTTGCTAGGACTAACGAATCGGATTTCAACGCGATTTTGTGTCATAAACCGACGACAACTGGATTATTTCTCACGCCATCCTGTGTATATGAAACAAACACTGTAAGCTCACTGGTAAACAGAGCTAAAATGGTTATCAATGATCACAGTTGCAATGCCACCGAGATCAATGACATTAGGGATATGCTGTAGCGGAATAAGTTTCAGGTCATCATTATCATCAATGTCATCTGTAATAACCACGTACTTGTCGTACAGTGGTTGTAGCTGCCGCCGTTTCGTTCACCGATTATTTGGAGGGGGGATAAGTAGTGGCGCATTGCAGGCGGGAACTGATAAATTGGTGCATAAATCCAGCACTGTCAGTGGGCTGTCAAGTGGAGGGTTGGAAAAGGAGCTACGCATTGAAGGCAATAGCTTTGATGCACGAGCGCCATTGAGAGCGCGGCTGGGCTATGTCTGACAATGTCTCTAGCCATTGATGTGGCCTGTCTCGGGG